AGAGTCATTCTATAAGAGGGAAAAAAAAATTTACAGCAGTAAAGTCGAGAGTGACGTTGTCCGAAGGCTGAGAAAACAGTGCAGGTGCGTCATGGACCGTGCGGCGGTGACAGCGACCTTTGCACTGGCGCCGCATCGTAACTCTTGCGTGTGCGCTTGTGTGTTTTCACTCTTGCATCGCCGCATTCCCCTCTGCACTTTGGGTTACAAAAGTTCACAAATGTACGCACTTTGTCGTGACGGGCCCTGTGTTGAGGGGCATGGATGCAGGCATGAGAAAATACGCCTTGGTGGATGACAACAACAAAAGGGGATGGAGGTGGCAGGGGCGGGGCGTTTAACAAGGTTATTAAAGATCACAGCATCAAATAAACACATGGAAAACATCACTGGAGTGCCCCCCACTCCGAGACACCTATCCCATTGAGCAAGCACGCCGGTGAGCCAATCACAATTCTGTTACCAGCAGCAACAGCTCCTGTTTATCCTTGCCTCGGCTTAATCCCGCGCTACGATTGGCTGCCGGTCGGTCGGGACCTGGGAGCGCTGCCCCCACCTCCCTCCTACACCCGCTCCCCCTTCCTCTCTCTGCCTGCTTTTCCATAGCTACAGATTAAGTAACACCGGCCAAAACAAAAAGGGCTTATTTTTGTTTTTCATCACATACGGGTGAAGCCGCGCAAATACGTGGGCTTATTCGGATCCAAACGTATTTGCCGGAATGGAGGGGAGAAATGGAGATGGATGCACAAAGTGAAAGATGATGGCAGAAAGGGGAGTAGGAAGGGAGGGTGGGGGGGAACTCGTACGCCTGTTGCCATGCACCCTCAGTGTGTTACTAGGTTAAGTACGGTGTGTTGCTAAGAAAGAAAGAAAAAAAGCATGTGCAAGAAAGAGGGGCAATTGCATCAGCCCCCTCCTCGCAAAGTCCTTGAAAAACATCTCGCGCTATGCAAATGTATACCGTTGTGGAATTTCAACATGAAAGGCGGAAGCATGAAAAATACATGTTCCCATGCGTGTGGCAAGTTTGGCAACAAGTTCTTCGGGAGGGTCTTACAAGGTGCTTACGAGTTCCAAAAGATTGGAGTGTTTTATATTCATATTTGTATCCAAATATTTTGACTGTAATTTTGACTCTACATTTGTGCCGGCAAAGTTGAGCAAATTTGTGTCATGTCGCCACAATAGGATCTAAACTGTTGTAATACTTGCTATAAATTAGGCTTAAACATGATCAGGATTTGGGAGCTGATCATGATAAGCGTGTTTAAAAAAAAAAAAAAATCACAGCACACCGACCTGATCAAAAGATGCACCAATCTATTTAAATTCATTTACCGTATAGTCGGCCCTGGCTATTTGCTGAGGATTAGGACTGGCCCCGTCCACGAACAGCCAAACATTGCGTATAGCTAATGGCTGGTGAAAAAAATAATAATAAAATAAAAAAGTATTCAAAAAATATTGGTGAAAAAAAGTTTGCCTGTATACACTGAGAAATATTTAATTATTCACAAAAGCACCACAGAATATCCCTGGAGTGAATGAGACTATTTTTACCGTCATGTCTTATTTTGTGCATCTGATCAATGACATCATTGATTGATCAGCAAATTATGACATTCCAATTGATCACCGATTTTGCATAATCTGCCATATTGATACATGCGATCAGTCTTACATCACCAACACTGCATCAGAGACTCGACAGAGGTGGGATGGCGCCGGGCGTGTAAAAGAATGAAGCAGTTATGCGACAGGGGTGTGACTCGTAACAGCCGATACTCAACGTCACTCGCCGTGTTCTAATTGTCACCGCCTGACAAGCATATTGTACTTCAGAACAAAAGCTGATTATAATATCGCAGGATGCCGCGTATCGCTTGGTGTGGCCAATATCCTGCTCCGCTGGTTTTCTACGTAGAAGGCATTCATGACGGATCTTCTGTTGCAACTTCACAGAAGATTAAAAATGTGCATGAATGAATGCAAACTTTTTTTCGGGCCTGAACTAGCCACTTTCTGATATTGATATCAGTGGACGGATATCAAACAATGTGGATTTTTTTTATCCACATTCGGAAGCGGCTTGATTCCATTCAAAAGATCCGATTTCATGCAGTAATTTGTCCTTGTGGTACCGATGATTGATATCCAAATTCTGTCAATCTTTCTGAAAAAAAAATGGAATTGTGTCAGTGTAGGGTAAATCCAATTTCTGATGCAACTGTTTTGCAGGAAGAGGCTTGTTTGGATCTTTCGTTGCTGTTAGTAGAGTAGAGTAGAGAACACGCCGGGATAAGATACCGTACATCGCAGCGAGGATGGACACTCGGTCCAGATCGAGTTTCTGTTATGCGACACCCGAGCTAGTTCGAGGTGGGTGTTTTGGAAAGAGCATTTGAAAACAAGACGTGTGTTCAATGTCATCTTTAACTCGTTTCACTGATCTCTTCGTCTGCTTTTGTATGTTGAGGGGGTTGAGGCATTTGTGCACGGGCGGCAAAACGCAAGACTCTTTTATGCAGAAAAACCACAATATTGCGACATCGGAGTAGGCGGCACATGAAGTCGTATCGTTTAGTCGAAATGGAGTTTTTGCAGAGAATTGAGCAAAGAGGCCATCTCACCATCATGTATTTCAGCATCTGGTGTGACGTGTAAAATACCTTACTCACGCCACTCGCCTCGCATTACGAAATAAACTTTCACACAGGTGCCGTTTCACCTCGGGAGCCGCTCCGAAACAACTGAACATTCACACAACACCGTCACCCACAGAACTGCCACATAGACACCACGCAGGAAAATTACCATGGCAGCCCCTTTGAAAAAACAAAATAATAATTTACTGGCCTTTTACCATGTATGCAGAACAGTGACATAGAAAGGGAATGAGGGTCGCCGCTTCGATTGGCTGCGAATCACGTCGACTGTGTTCGCTCCCACAACAGCGCAAACGCCTACTTCTACCTGCACCCGTCTGCGAAAATGTCAAAAGAAAGAAAACTCCACCCGCGTGCGGCAGTTTGCGCTAGACTTGCGTTGGGCACGAAAAATAAGGCCCGATATGTTACGAGAACAACATCACCCCTGACTTATAACTGACACAAATAAACTTATCTTACGAACACGGTCGCACTGCTGGGTAACTGCTCACCCCTTCCCTCTCTGCTCGTCAAAAAAAAAAACGGCCCCCGCGGCTCAACTCTGCAAGCAACCAATCATATTTGGCCCTGCTTAGAAGTCCCCTCGGCTCATAACCGGTGACAGCCAGTCGTCGCTGTTATTGAAACCTTGAATTTCTAAAGCCACACTCAACGGTTAAACTGATAATCGGCCCATGCCTAGTGGCAATATCCTACTTTGCTGGATCCTGTGTCATATGACAAGGTGGTAAATTTGAGCTGTTACAGTTTTTTTTCCTGCTGACATTTTGCTTGGGCACTGTGTGGAAAAAAGGCTTTCGGCTGTTTGCGTACGAGGAAGTTCTGTACAACGACTTGCCCCGGTAACCCTGACCTGCGCACGAATGACGACAAACGGCAAGACAACATGGCCTTCACACGCCCTCCCCTTTTTTGCTACTTCCTTCACTTTTCTGTCCCTTTTTTACGGTCTCATTCGCTCCTCCTTGCAATCAGTCTCTGTCTGCTCTGCGCCTCAGGTCACTTGACCTCTTTCGAGGTTTCGGCTGCAAGAGAGCCGTAAGCAGATAAGTGCAGTGTGGAAGTCACATGTTTACTCGGCAGCCCTCTCTTCCTCCTCGCCTGACTTGCTCTCGAAGAAAACGAGTCTGGCTGCTTTGATATATTTTCATTGGCTCTGCAAAATCACTACAAGCCTGAGGCAGGATTTTCACTGCACGTCCGAGTGCACATTTTCAATTTAATGCCTATATTACATGTCGTTTGACTCCGATTAATGGCCACGCACGTGCTCTTTTGATGGTGAAATGGATCGCGCACTGTGAAGATGGCTAGCTAGCAGTAAGCAACAGTAGCGTATTGCGTTCAGTATACAGTAACTATGAGTGCAAAAAGGTTTCTCAGTCGATGAAGGCAGATACTATACATGTGTAAAGTAAACAAACCGAAATAAGTGGTGTGTTGATTTTTATTTCGTCAAGCCGTTGCACAAAATAAAATCCTCTGGATCCAAATACTTTTTTTTTTCTCAGTAGATGTATGACCTACTTAAAAAACACTTGACAAAATATAATTGTGTATATTCCAAAAAGACTTTTTCCAGTGTATATGAAATACTGTAATGGAGAAAGGTATCATACCACTTAGCAAATAAACGTATCAATTTAGGTAACAATTTACACGAATTGCACCATAATTTTTTTTCCGCTCCTGATAGTAAGCTGGCCACAAAAAGGCGCCAGGGTATCCGTGACTAGTATCGACATCCTTGGGTAAGCCTCGATACCATGAATTTAGGGCGATACTGTGCCAATACTGATATCTGGTATTGGTACTAGCCCATCCCATCTTTTGGGGTGTATCGCATCGTAACCACAAACAAAAAGAATCATTTTGTCAACCTTTCAATTCAAGTCATTAACTTTCTGCCCAGATATACTCTGGCGACTGTCGTTTATGAAAGTGAAAACTTAAGCACCAGTGCAACTGCAATATGTGTATCCTAATAAATGAACACTTGACTGCTGCAAAGGCAGAATTTTTGGGATGCTGCTTTTGTACTGGCCCTCATGCATGTTCTTGACTTTATCTCTGGAGGTAAAAATGAGTGCGACGACTTCAACTCCCCACTTTGCAAGGCTGCAAATAACTGGCGTGATTGCATTTGGAATTTACTGCAGCCATGCAAAGTGTCCTGACATTTCTTCGAGACACGTTCCATCTGTCCTTGAATTAAATCAAGGCTCAATAATTGTCCACATGCCAGGCTAGCAAAGTGCTTTTTGTTTCTGTATGTATGCACACAACAACGGGTGAGTTAGTCCACGTCGGCTTCCTCCAAGTGTGTACCTTGTGTTCCGGGAATTCTTCGCGTGGCTCAGAGTCCATGTGCCCGTGGACCGATAAGCTCAGCTATGCCAGTAATGTGTCAGCCCCGCAGAGGTTGCAGGCTACTCCCCATATTTGGCGAATCACTTAAGCGTCGCTCCACCTCGGCCGGTCTTGGTCTCTGCACACTAACCACAAAAATATGAAGAGAATGTCAGCCCAGCAGGCCGGAATGCGTGCACAAGGAAAGAACATGCATTCATTAAATAGTTTGCGGTTAATGACTGGAAACGTTCAAACGGTTTTCTACCGGTCTCATCTCCTCGTGTCACTCCCCATCTTGCATGCAATTTCATTTGCTCAAGCGTGCGACATGTTTACACACCTCAGTGGGATTCGGATCTCATTTCCTGTAATGTCCCCTCCGTTTCAAGCGAAACGCGGAGGGGAGGGGCGGAAATGAGAACTTGTTCAAACAGACTCACGTGATATTTTCTATGTATGAAGCGAAACCGGGGAAAAACACACACACATGCGCACACGCTGACAGTATGCCAGCAGTCTGCAAAACAGTCTTCCTTTTCCAAAGCGGAGCTATTGCACTGAGTCGTCACACGTTACATCCACTGGATTTATCCAGACGCCCGAGAACAAACAAGCCTGATGCAATCCCAAGACATAGCGCTTTCCAAGTGAGATAAAGCAAAACACCTTCCACGTATGTCTGCTCTGACCAGAATTTAGTTGACGGTAAAACAAAAACACAAGGCACGAAATTTGGAAACCCCCGAGAGACCATATAAACAACGTTTTCATCGTTGTGCACCTTCAACTTGCTTGAAGCATATTTTACCTCATTAAAACACATGTAAACTTATTAAAAGATTTTTTTTAAGTATTCCGTAGTGCCTGTTTTCACTCGATCGCTGTCAAGAACTGGTCGACAATTGTATCGCATCACTTTGAGGAAACGAATAGTCTCTCCAATGAAGAGGCCCAGTGTGCGTGCTTCAAGTTGTTTACACTGGTCAACAAATGTTTACTACATTTGATTATAATACCGAGTCCATTTTTTGGGGGGGCCAGCGGCATTTGTCACTCCCAAGGTGACTGTAAAACTGACACATAAAACTAAAGAGAATTAAACATTGACATTCAAACTGTTCTACCAAACCATAAAGTAACAAACGTTTGCTAGCTAAGCGCGTTTCACATATAATGTGAAACTCTGCAGACAGGAAATGTTACAGCAATTGGAAACCTTCAAGCAACTCTTACTTTAACACACATGGAGTAGCAAAACATGCAAATATAACATACAGCAATACTCAATACACTTTGATTTATTTGGATGACGATGACTTTATCTCCTTATCCAGCTACAAAGAGCATCTCATTGTGGGATCAGTGTGTATCATGCCCTCATCGGCAATGACCTGCTGTGTGTATGTCACCTTACACCCCTCCAGGTACACAGTGGATCTCAGAGTGTAGGTCAGGAATGTGTGTGTGTGTGTGTGTGTGTGTGTGTGTGTTTAACCGGGTCACCCTCTCCTCACAGCTGTTTAGCAGTGATTGTATGCTGTGCAAAAACGAGTGCGATCATTGCCTCTGAATTCAGGTGAACGTCATGTGACCTCACCACAAAGTGGTGCGGTCATACCAGGTGCGGCGCGGTTAGTTGTTTTTTTTTTTTTTCCCAACCTCAGCGGGTGATTTTATCATGTGAAAAAGGCAGACAATAAATACAGAAAGGTACAGTCAATGTTGATTGATTGCGATCTTAAGGGTCTTTACCCTCCTCTTATGTTGCGGGTCAAAATGACCCGTTTGTAAAATCTAGAATAAAGAAAATGTTTCTGCTGGCCTCTGTTTTTTTTTTTCATTTTTGTTTTTGTGATTGCATTGCAATATGAGACATATTTTCATGATTAAACATGAGAGCGGGTCACATTGGCCCATAAACATTGTTGTTAAAAAAGGAGTACAATAGGAGGGCTACGCCGGACAAAACACCATCCCTTGTGAAACTTTGAATTTAATATCATCACACAACACATTTATGTGACATATCGCAATCATATCTGAGTATAAAGTTAATATCAGTGAGGGGTATGTCTGGCATCGCATTGACAAGAGTGTTCCCACAAATGTGATTTACACGGTTGTGTGCCCTGTGTTTGGCTGGCAACCAGTCCATTGTGTACCCCACCCGTCATCCTGATGAGGTCAAGCAGTATGGAAAATAGATTGATGGATAGATCAAGAAAAAAAAATGGGAAGTGAAACCAATTTGATTCTTTTTAAGGATGTATACGTGAAGACATTTTAAAGCTGCCCCTGAGGGTCCAATGACTGACAAACAACAGATACCCAACACTCTGCTCTTTCCTTCCACGAGGCAGCCAGTTGAGCTCATGGTACGGTCGCGGTCATGTGAGTGCAGGCTGGGTTAGAGTGGGGTCGGGTGATTTGGGTTTAGGGGCGTGGGTCCGGTAGGTGGTTCTGCCTGTCCTGTAATCTCATCTCCCATGCGGTTACAGTAAGTGATCTGCAGAAGTGGGAATGGGTCGCGGGGACCGCAGGAGAGTGAGGGAGTCGGGGGAAGGGCCGTGTATCGCCATAGCAACACACCACATAAGTGCGCCCCATTTACAGTCCAACCCCGACGTCTGGGAATCTGAGGCTTTCCCCAATACAGAAAGAGCAGAAAATAGCACACATTAGAGGGTCGGTGGTGTGACGCCGCAGTGAATTAACTAAAAATAAATAAATAAATAAATCACTTTGAGTTCATTAAACATAAACAACACACAGCATGGCTAAGAAATGACAACTATAAAGAACACAACTTAGGAGGACCCCTCTAGAATTCGGAATTCAATTCCATCTGCCCATCCATCCATCTATCTATCTATCTATCTGCTAGCTTAGCTAGCTAGTGTTGGGGGAAGAGCGGCCTCCTCTTCCCCGCGTGTTCATTGAATTTCGGACGAGGAGAATGTTGGTTCTTCAAATAAAGGCTGGAGTCGATTAACAGTTCCTTTGAAGCTTTTAATAACAGAATATTCCGGCCACCCGCGAATTACAGACAATGGCTGCGCGTCACGAGTGCGAAGCAGGAAGAGATTCACATCATTTTTATTCCATCAGAAGGGCGGTACCGAGACACAAAGTGTGATATCATAACTTTTGTTTCTCCGAAACCGACTCTCAGCTTGTATGAACTAGCGCATTCCAATGTTTGTGCGTCTTCAGCAAGGAGTATTCCAATTCCAGGTGATGGTTGTTACAAAGACGCAAAGCTACCCTGCGGGCATGGGAAAGTTATATACAGCATGACCAAATATGTGCAGAGTACAAACTAAATATGAGCAGAATACAGACTTCACTAGCAAGCTATGTTGCTAGCTAGCTAGCTAGATATCTAGCTAGCTGTCTTGCTATCTATCTAGGTATCTAGCTAGCTATCCTTTCAGCATTCCAATCCATTCATCCATCCATCCAACCTTCTTTCCTTCTGCTATCCATATCTATCTACCAATAAGCCCCCACTCATCTACCGTGTGGCTTCACTCAATTTGCCAGATGACTCAGGCCCTCAGAAAAGATCTCATTGTAATATTCTATTTTTAGCTCTGTTGAAGTCATCACCAAACATGTCCAACACGCCTGGTGGGCATTGCTTTTTTTTTAATGCACTTGTGCTTTTTCTGCTTCTGAGAGCATCAGTTGTTGTGTGTGCTTTATTCATTTGCGTAAGATGAACGTGGGTTTTGTTGACTCCAACTTTATGGAAAAAAGAGAGCAGGCCCTCTGCCGCCTGGTGTTTACCATCTTTCTGGTCCCACTTAAGAGAAAACAAAGAGTCAGAGGACACATGTGTCTGCTGCCACGCTCACGCAGACGTCTGAGCTCGTCTCGCTGCAGGCTTTGGGACGCAAGCCATCAGAGGAGAAAAGATGTTGATGGATTTGTACAAATGTCTGTTTTTCTTCTCTGTTCGTCTAGCCAAAAGAACAAGGCCGGAGAAAAACAGACGCGGTGTTTGCTTGTCTTGCGTCATGCTTGAGTTGTTCCTCCACAAGTCAAACCGAGAGTGGCGCAAAGTTGAAGAGTTAAATAAAACACGGGGCAGTGCTGTCTTTGCATTTGTATGTCGTATTGTAACGTACCGTAATTGAAAGCAGCAGTTTCTGTAATCGTCAGCCTGCGCTCTGACAAAAGTCGAGGGAGTAGATCATGAAAGGCAGACTCGTGAAAAGACAACATCATTTGTAAATATGACAACTACAATAGTCAGGAGGATTACTGAGATATTTTTCTGTTGTAGAATTCTGTCAAATATATGCACATAGATATTTTTTTTTACTTTTGATGCTTCCTACAAGAGCTTCTGTCTGCTGGAACAACGCGTCTCTTATGCACTGATCCAAGTAATTGTTGATTCAAGAGAAAAACTACCAATCGTCTCCCGGTTTCATTAGACACAATGGCTTCTGGTAGAACTTATTTTTGTTTTGAAAACAGTGTCCCTTTTCTATCTATCACAAGACTATCCAGTCAGAAAATATTTTTTTTTTGCAGCTTTCATTTACAGGAATTTGTATGAGTATTCCTAAAAACCTGCTGAGGGCCACATGAAATGTCCACGGAAAGCCCCTTTGTGCATGGCGGCACACTTTTTCTCACCCTCCCCCCTCGACAATCCCCCCCAGGAAAGTTTTTTTTTTTGTTCTTAGAATATGACCTCAGTCTGAGTAAGGAGAAAGTGCTCCGTTTGCTAGTTGCGGCTCGCACACACAGGTCTGCATGAGTGTGTATGTATGCGCACGTGGCCAAGTGATTGGCTGGAGAATGAGGACCTGCCAAGAAGCGAGGCAAGTTCCTGTGAAGTGTTTTTTTTCTCTTTGATGGGGCCGCTTTTTACTGTCAGCCTCCACCGCAACATGCACGCGCACCCCTCACCTGACCACTATTCTGCCATTAAACTGCACTGCACTCATATGTATGCGCAAGTGGGTGATTACACAAGCAAAAAGAACATACTCAAGTATTTGAACTACGTTTCTTCCCACCAATATTTGTGCGACATTTTGCAAGGGTCCGGTAGAATCCTTGTACTGTACCTCCAAAATCATCACTTTTCAGGACCCCCCTCCCCCAAAATGTTTGCTCACCCACATTGCATCAGCAAAGAAAGCAAGCAATTTTTAACACTTCAGATTGGTCATTGCTTTGTTTAAAAAAAAAAACACCTAAACACGTATGGATTGACAAATTGTACAGATTTGGGGAGAGGAAAAAAAATCTGAAATTGACAAAAGGAGGTTTTGCCAGCAATTTAAAGGCCTTATACAAAGGCTCAAAAAGACAGCACAGATACTCATTTCCACTTGGGTGCACAAGATCTCAGCTAAACACACAAAGAGGCTTCTCGTGCCTGCTCCGAGTGTGCATTTAAATAACAACCACCTACTAAAAGTGCACTTTGCCAGAAGCAGCAAACCCTACAACAGTATTGTTTTGAGAGCTGTTTCCAAAGTCAAGTCAAGTCTATTTTATTTACAATGCGCCAATTCACAAGTTATTTCGAGGCATTTTACACATCGCGCGGGGAACCTCACTCCCATTACATTTTATATCGAAAACGATCAAGTGAGCGCCACTTTAAGCGAGCCCCTGGTGAAGGAGCGTTGACAGGGTGAAGCAGAGTCGGGGAACAGCGCAGAACAATGGGCACAATAACGTCCATCAACAACAGTAGTTGACCCCATGACGACAGCAACAACAATACCGGCAAAGGTGTTATGGATGACAAAAGTAAAAAGGCAACAGTGGATCCAAAAGCGAATGGGAGACATTCGGCGACAATGGCGGCTCGCAAACAAAAAGGTGAAGTTCCGGCTTAGGGTAGGTGAAGTGACGAAGAGAAGAAGGAATGGCACCAAAGTGTAGAATCAAGTATCCCGTGGAGGAAAATGCAGAGCCAGGTTGGGTGGCATGGGGAAAAAAAAAGAAAGACAATCAAAATGTTACGCACCAAAGTTCAAAATGGCAACTCAACACAGCATGTGCTGCAGTAATGGCCGGAACAGGACTCAAAACGCGTGAATCATCTGGCGCCCGCAGATCAGCGGAGGTCTTATACACCGGATGTGATGTGATCGCTGATCAATTGCAGGTGTGGAAGCACTCTCCGGAAATCACCCCGCCCAGCCTGATAATTAAAGGCAAGTGATCACCAATACACAGAAGGAAGAGGGTCTGTCACAACACATCACAAAAGATTTGTGTTTTCACACTCTGGAAAAAAAAACACCATTGTTACATACACAATCCCAAAAAAAAAAAACAATTCTCTCTGAATTTGCAGTGAAGTGTAAACAACAAAAATCGTGTAGAAAACTACCCCCCCCCCCAAAAAAAGCCCCTCCAGCATGACTTGCAACTTTTCAACTATGCAAGCTGCCAAAGCAGCGCTATTTGTGCCTCGAAAGAGCACATGTGTTGCTGAAACTCATGATCCATCACGTTGCTACAATCATTTTTTTTTTCCGGCAGAGGAGGAAGAATGATGCCATGCCAACTTCCGGATTCTTCAAGCTGAAGCTCCCACACTCCAAAAATCTCACTTGATAAGTGAAAAGGAAATAAATCGTTGGGTGCCATTCTATGGTAATAAAAAAAGCACCTTTTTAATAGTAGTAATACATTTTTGGGAGGTACCAACTAGGCATTGCTTGTGGCTTCCTGGAGAGTACTTTTGTATTTCCTCATATACTGTAATCACCGAAACTATAATAAATGCCACGCCCCAATTAGTCTTTTTCCCACGACTGCATAATAAGAAACTACATGGCATGGCTTGCAGATGAGTCTTTCATTCTGCTTTTGCGATATCGCCTGATATCATATTTCCTCAAATAATGGCCTCTGTTTTCTTCGACGCCGCACCTCAATAAATCGTTTTGCAGGATTGACGACGGCCGACATGATATTGCTTGCTTGTCAAATTTGCATGCAGTCTTTAGGAGAATACCCTCTTATACGGTAACCTACCCAAATGGTGGCCTCTTCTCTAATAGAAGCCACGCCCTTTGGGCCTTGAAGGCCATAAATTATAAATTACTAGCATGGCATAGCTTGCAGCAAAACCTTTTTTATACTATACCGTAGACCCCCACTATTCGCCCTCGACGAGCACCCGTGAATAGATGAATTCGCAGGTGCACTGTAACATCCTTTTAGAACCACATTTCCTCAAATAGTGGCTTCCGCTAAAATCGATCCCACACCTCAAGTTGTATTTGTGCAAGACAAATAATGACCTAAACAGCATAGTTCGATGATAAATTTTCACTCTGCGTGAAGAAGCATGACCCCTTATACTGCATTTTCTCAAATAACTGTCTCTGCTTGAATAGATGCCACGTCTCGACGTGTCTTTTTGGAGAACTAATAAGTACCTGCATGCTATTTATTGCCGGTGAACTTTTGCACAGCGCCTTTTAAATATTCTTCATTGGCTTGCATCGTGTTTCCTCAAATAGTTGGGCTCTAATAGACGCCACACCCCAATTAATGTCTTTTCGGGACAACATGATAGTCACGGTGAACTTTTGCATACCGCCTGCTCGCCAGTCTTTCGAATACACTTCAGCGTACTTCATGCACGGTATTTCCTCACAGAATGATCTCAGCTCTGAGAGACACCGATCAACTAGTTTTGCAGTCGTGTTAGTCATTCTCATGGCATGTGTTGCTTGCAAACTGCTCCAGAATGTCTGCATGTCCGTATCCTCAAATGCTGTACTTCCTCAAATAATCCCCCGCTCAAATAGATGCCTTACCCCAATTTTTCTGTTCACAGGGCAAGTAATTAATGACCACTATGGTCTTGCTCCATGTGAATTGTTACAAACTGTCAGCACCACTCTCACCGGAATACACTTTGATGTAGATTATGCTTCCTCTGCTCTAATAGACGCCTTGCCTCAATTAGTCCCTTTGCATTTGGAGTAATGACCACCATGGCGTTGCTTCCTGTGGAGTTTTGCATACTGTCTGCCTTCCTCTCTTTGGAATACACTTTGGTGTATATTGCTCTCTTCCAACAAGTTTCCTCTGCTCTCATAGACACCACGCCTCAATTAGTCATTTTGCAAGGCAAATAATGACAGTGAGGTGTTGCTTGTAGGTGTCCTTTTGCACATCAGCTTTATTAGATTATACTATATTTACTGCAATAGTGGGCTCCGTTCTAATTGACACCACACCTCAGGTCGTCAGTCTTTTTGAGGGACTATTAATAGCGCAGCATTGGTTTAATATCAGTAGTGAGTCCTGCTCTCATAGATGTGTTTCCTCAACTACGGTAATGTTTTTGCAGGACTACTAATAACCAACTTGGTGTTGCTTCGTCCTGGGAGGATTTGCATGACTCGCCGTAGGAGGCCTTTGGTGTGGATTCTTGCTCAAATAAACATCACACCTCAGTTAGTCATGCTGCATGACTAATAACTACCAACATGATTTTGCTTGCTTTTGTATAGCCCTTTGTTACATTTTCTTAAGAAGCTGCAGAAGCAAAAAGAGAAAAAAAAAATCTTCGGAAACAAGCAGTCATTTGATTTCAAACATTTATTCACAGGTCATGAACAAAATGTGTGCAAATTCAAATTATCGTCGCGTGGTTTTGCTTGCGCAATTACAAAGAGAGTCATAACTCGTATATCAATGTTGTTAAAATGTCATTAAAGTGCAGCTCAAATCAAGATTTTCCACAAGTCTTTTGCTATTGATGTCTGCACATGAAGAAAACGTCCAGTCTTTTTTTTTTTTTTTTTTCAGCCACTCTATTCCCGGATCAGCATCACTCCCATCTGATGAGCTCCCGTCCGGCCTCCGCACGTTCTCACATCCACCTCTGCACAGTCTGATGCAGTCGTGCCCACACACCGCCGACGTCTTCTCGCTAATCATCGAGTGGGCCGTCACCGGCTCTTGCAACGCCTCCCTGAGTGTCCGTCGTGGTGTCCTCACGGCACACCACCGAGCCACCCCACATGACTGGCTTCTGAGTGGTTGTCCCCTCAGGGTATAATCCACAACGTCCTGACCCCAAAATGCACTGACTGGAAGGCTGCTTCCCTCTGCGCATGTAAGCATGAATCGGGCACGGAGGGGGGAGGGAATGAGATGGTGGAGCTTCCATCCCGGCCACGCAGCCTTACTAATCCAGACAAACGGGAGGCAGAAAGGCGCCGGAACACTTTCAAGTGATGCCTTGACTTTCTTTCTTATCATCATCGTCATCATCGCCGATGCATTTTCAAGGGACCGAGGGAGAATGGCTGACTCAGCGCTCCGGGAAGGTGATGGTGGGAACCCAGTCACACATGCTGCGGCTCTGCTCGCAGAAAAGACTCAGCTTGTCCAGAGCGGGGTCTTTCCATGGATTGGCACTTGGGCTCTGGAATGGAATAAATAAGGAAGATTTTAAATAAATGATTTATAATACCAGCAGGCCATGACTTAGATCATCTGTTGCACTTTGTATGGCAAGAAACCATATTGGGGTCACTAAAAGACAGTAGAACCATGTGATTCCCGGTGTATATCCTATGTAACTAATTACTGTAGTATTAGTAGTGTGTAGCATAAGAGCCTTTTAAGGGCATGGCCAATTGAGTGACGTCAGCTGCTCCAGCAACTCCTTGCCATGTATGTCTCCTTTTGTATTTGACCGATTTTGGTGTTTTTAGCTACCGTTTTTTTTGTTTTTTTTTTAAACAATCGTTGATCAATTTCTGTGGTGGGAGCTAAGCTCTTACCGTGACTAGGATGCAGTGGGCGTCCTTGGGCTCGCCGCCCTCGTCGGCGCCCACCAGGTCGGCGAGGCGCTCGATGTCGGTGACGCGCACCACGTTGATGTCGTTATCGAAGCAGAACGCCTGGATGAGCGTGAAGTGGATCTGCAAGGCGATGTCGCACGCGTGCTCCTGGTCGGTGGCGAGCACGCAGAAGGCGACGCTATCCGGGTCGCTGTTGGGAGGACGAGGTTGGACGGTTAGAAGTTGCATGACGACTTGTGCGTAAAACGTTACAAATTCATGCGTTTAAAAAAAAATGCTCCAATGCGTTACAAATACTCACACATTCATGACTTTAGCCGACTCGTAAACGCCGACTGTTAGGTAGTCTTGCTTCTTAGCGGCGAGCAGCAGCTCTTCCAGTGCTGTGCCTGCACTTTGCACCCTTTTCCACGAGAAAACGAAAACACATTTAGACGACTGTGCGCTTCCGTAAAAGACAACCATCCATTAAGAGCACCATCCAAGACTCACCTCTCATTGTGTTCCATCGTGTTTTCCTGTCCGCGAATCTCCTCAAGAGTCATAGTTATAATCCACGCGTGATCGTGTTGCGAATAAGCACGGGATAAAAAAAGACGAGGCAAGTGGAGCTCAAGTATTCCAGTGCGGTATCAGCTGTTCTGTTCTCTGGCGTCATTCTGAGCTCGGAAAGAGCAGTGGGTGATTTTATAGCCAGCCCGGCGTAGTTTCTCGGCAAGGGGCGGTCTTTTCCGCTCACGCTTCTCCCCGATTGGTGAACAGAAAGCCGGCCAGGAGGAAAGCAAAAGTCCCCCTCCTCTCCTCCACCCTCGGCATTTACTGCTCAAGGTTTGTTGACAAGCCCAATCGGGGGAGGATTATGAACTTTCAAGAAATCACCCCCACCTCCTTTTGCCTTTGTCAACATAACCACCGTGTACAAAAACACGGTTAACAGGGACAGTGAGGTTTGAACTCTACTTGGCAGATTACTCAGTAAAATCGATCAAAAGTGTCGTGTTGTCTCAGTGGGGATTCTAAAGTTAAAAGGCAGTGCATTGCAAAACATGTTTACGCTCTGCGTCTTAATTGTGTTTTTCAAGAATTCCCCTAGACGTGTTTTTTTAACGGCCTATTTACACAACCTCACACAACAAAAGACCCAAAAAATGTCAAAGTGTTTCGTGTAATGCCCTTTGCTCTTGTTCTTTAAGGTGGTTATATAAGTATCATGCATAGCTTTCCCAAGACTTGTTGAGATTTAGAATGCATGAGAGAACGCAGAGAAAGGTTCACAGAGGTGATCTCAATGCAACCTCCAAAGTGCAGGACTTTCCCAGCTCAGGGAATTAACAGACTATAAATAGTACATTTTTTTATAAAACTCACTGGAAGCCAACAGACGGTCAGTAAGTGAGCTGGCTTGCTTGAAAGTGTATTAGAGATGCGCGTGCAACCCGGCTAGTCGCATTTTTTTGCTCAAATGACGGGAGAGAGACAACGACCCTCACTTCCGGGTAGAGGCTAGACTTCTGCATGACGACATGTTAGCGTAAAAAAAAAAAAAAACCACGCCAGGGTCTCGCCAGATAAACTGCTCGCTTAATTAGCGGTCTGTCGCCACGCGTATTGTTTAGACACGGGGGGCTTTCGCTGACAATACAAAAAGCCCCCCCAGCCGTTTTGTGTAGTCCCCATTCGTTAACATACAAACATCCAAATTAAAAAAAAAAGGGTAATCATACAATAATGCCTGCATTATTATATTATTAAATAAAGAATATCACATAAAATGCAGAAGTCGTTTTATTAAATTAATGATTGGTTAATTATAATTACATTAATTATAAATAAAAACAAAGGGAGCATGAATGAGTTTTATTTCCGTATTTTGAATTATATTTACCCCATTTGAATGAACCCTATCTTTGTTTTAAAAATCAAAAATACACGTGCAGTGTAATGCTTTTTATTGTTTGTTTGAAAGCACCTTGATTAAAACGCGTTGTTATTGCCAGGATTTGAGTCTTTGTGCAGAATCGTTAGCCTTACATCGCCACCTTCAGGCGACTCAGATTATGACCTTTCCTCCACACAAACAAGCCCGGGCTTGTTGCTTCGTAATCGTGAGTCGTGACTGGTGATGAGTCACCTGACTCCACTTCCCACTTCAAAAAAAGGGCTGATGTCATGTCGAATGCATTACAAATTGTTTGCCCAGCACGGGACAGCGCAGCAGCGTGCACGTGGCAAAGCAATCTCAGACCATTTGAGTGAAACTATTTTTTTTCCCTTGCTTGATTGTCGTCAGCAAAGTACTCAATTGTTGGTTGTCTCTAAAAGATAATCACAAGCGATCGTGCTGCAGTGTGAGGTCAATTAAGGAGTTATTTTTCCTTCCACGTCTGCTCAGAAAACAATTGGTCATGTTACCTTATGTGGTAATTTATTTCTGGGCTAGACTTATAATTGTTGATGGTGATATTATGTGTTGTGTGCTGTGTTGGTTATGGGGGGGGTTCATCATGTGTGGAAAGCTTGTGCACATCAATATACAAACAAAGAGGACTGCTTTGGTCCATAAAAAAACTTTATTATCATATACGTAAAGATGTACAGAAAAGCTACAATCATTTGAACTTATTTACATTTTATTCTTCTTAAATCAGTGCCTTTCCCCTCCTCACGTTTAAAATCTCATCTGATCATAATACAGAGCAGTTGCCCTTTGTATGGCATTTCTATTAATAGTCACGTAGAAATACAATACACTAAAAACGCCTCACTGACAGAGCAGCTCATTACATTTTTGGGTACAGTTAACATCACAACATTTTTGCAAGCATCATTATAGTTTGCACAAATTTAAGAAAGTAATCTGGACAGGTATACAAAAAATGTCTCCTTATCTTAAAAAAAAAAAAGTAAAAGTGGGAATCGCGAGTTTATCACTTGACTGCCCACACAAGGGAACGGAAACCCTTGTTACAAGGGAAACGCTAAACAAGTCGTCTACGTACATGGCCAAATGTCCTGCAATGGCTTCATGGTGCAAATGATCCAAAACACTTTAGTCAAGCGGCCTACCCTTCTATCAAGCTATGACTGATGGAAGCCGATTTGCTATCGAGCAGCTTTGGGTGTGTCATTTATCTATATATTTTTTATTTTGCAAGGAGAGTGGGACCTTTTCAAATGCATGCATGTATTTATATATTTTCATGACTGCGCAAGTCATTTTCGCCCTTTACAACATGTTTAGAAAAGTGCAAATAAAGTAACAGTAGTACATCGGAAGGCTGCTAAAATGACCGAAAATCCACCTCCCCTCAAAAGTACAGTGGAACAGCCAAAGTTCAACATGACAGACTCCATGCCACGGGTTCACTTAGAATGAGTTCAAATTTCCATTTTTTTAAACCGTAGGAAAATAATGTAAAGTGAAATAATTTGGTGACACGTGTGGCATTTCCTATTTTCATCACCTTCTGGGGTGATTTTGTCCACAAAATATTTAAGTACAAATTGTACTACCCCATCGTGGAGTCGTTCCAACTGTAGATGTTCCGCCGTATTGAGAGCGGTACACAACATTTTCCACCTTCCGATCCATGTCAGCGAAAATCAGATCATCGAATGTCTCGAAAAGATTAATCCGAGCGATTATCCTGTGCAATTTTTCTAAGAGTGGGTTTTTTTCTTCACGGCTGGGGCCGACAAACGTAATATTAAACCTGTTTAATATTTACAATAGCAAATCCCTTTTACAGTTACGATTACAGTAATCCCCCAAATATTCACTGAATAACACGTTTTTGTGCATGATCGACATAAAGACAATTATAAACTTTTTTTTTTTTTTTTTAAGGAGGGGAACAATTCTTTGCATTGTTCCACTGTTTGTGACCCATTATAGAAAAATGAATCGGAATTTATACGGGTGGATTCCGAGATGAGGCAATCGTGGTTCACTCGGTCAAACTTCTACCTTTGATTGATTAAACAAAGCAAGGAGCAATTATTGCAAAATATAGCATAATAATCGCTCATTATTAGGCATGGGCTGATTACCGGCTTAATGCGGTTTTAAAAAGTCAAGGTTATAATTCCTGCTAAGACTGACGACTGTCACCGGCAATGAGCTTTTCCTTTGGGTTTTTTTGTTTTTTGCAAGCTTGGCTGCTTGCGGAGATCAGTTGAGAAGCAGCTGAGAGCGTTCCTATTTTCGATCGGGCCGAAAACCTCATTCGTGAAATGTGGGTGCACATTAAATCATTTTGCTATGCTGGGTCGTTATCCCGCTCAGTGGTAGAGTGGTCGTTTCCCAACCGGGAGGTCGGTGGTTCGATCCCCAGACCATTGCGAGAATATCTTGAGCAAGATAGTGAACCCCCGGTTGCGCTTGATGGGGCTTCATCGGTAGGTGAATGAGGTAACGGTGTCAATCGCTTTGTTAACCCGAGGTAGAAAAGCGGCTATATAAATGACAGCCCATTAATTAACCATTCAAATAGTGGGCGGGGTTATTCAATGTGTGACTGCATATACCCTGCTTCAGCTTCCCTGTGGTACAAATAAGATTCATGTCTCCCCTATAGTGCATCGGAAAAGTATTCACAGCGTTTCACTTTTTCCCCACATATCGCAGCCGCATCCCACAATTTCTTTTTCTGAAAATTCGACACACATGACGGTCCGAGAGCCTTGTAAAAATGTTTGTCATGACATAAAGTGTGGAAAAAGTCAATCGCCGTGAATACCTCTGGAGGCGCTGCGTACGGAACCTCGCTACATCTCATCCGAACGGTGCTGCTGTAATATAACAGACGGAGGGTTCCGGTCTATCCAGTTCCCCTTGGACCCAGGGACCTCATACGCCACAGTGGCCACCACTACGGAATCTAAGGAGCCTTCCTGTAACTCCCCGGGGGCCCCCGTGCCCACCCCCGGCGTCACTTCCGCCGCCTGCGGGGCGGCGGGGTAGTCGGCTGAAGAGTTGCCGTTGACGGCCGTCTCCGAGTCGGGCTGCTCCACGCGCTGGTAGTCCGGGGTGTGGTTTTTCTTACCGCCTGCGAAGATGACGTCGATGTTCTCCAGTTCGGCTTGAGGAAGCAGATGAAGGTCTGGCTCGTCATCTTCGGGTTCTAAGTAGGCCAAGGCGTCGGTGCTCTCTGACGGCAGCGAGCGCAAAGTTCGGGAAATGACTGCAATTGTGAATGCAAAAATAAAAACAAAAGAGGACAGTTACAGGAAAGTTGAAGAATAGAGCATCGCGATGATAACGCGACTGCTGAATTCAAAAGTTTCCTTTTTCATTGTTTAGATCACAATATGCATCTTTTTTTCCCCACATCAGTGATCAGAGTTAGATTTGTGTATGAATGACATGTACACTGCCACAAAAACTGCTGAGAGGAAAACAAAGAGCAATGAAATGAGGAGATTGATTGCAACAGTGAAACCCTCACAGTCGTGGTTTGGCAGTCGTAAATTCACCTACTTCTGTCTTTTTGGGGCAAACCAATTTTCGATCAACCTTTTCGATTGACTGCCATCATCACCGAGTGGGGAAAATCACTCTTCACACACCTTTCAGTCATTCACTAATTTGGTGTTTGCTGGCTTTGAGCTGAAGGCGTGAAAAATGCTCAATGTTGTGTATGTTTGCGCCTCCACGTTAAATATGTTTAGAAAAAAAAAAAATCATTTTGAGGCATCTTGGTGCTACAGAACTATTTTGAAGTGAGTGGAGGAGTTTCATTTTTCATCTTTAAGCAATTAGAAAATTGTTTTCGTGGGGGTATCTATTACTCCGTGAACAGTGGGGTACCAATGTATTGTATTGAAACAGATTTATCTACGAAAAGGAGAACTGGACTTGGTAAGACTTCAAATGTTTTTTTGTTTTTTTTAATTCTCTTGTTTTTAATCCTCCTGCTGTGTTTTGTATTATGAGCCCAATAAATGTACAATATAAGGCGGGTGCAGTTGGCGAGCGCTTACTGGACGAAGGAAGGTAGAGTTCCTTCTTCTCCGTGTTGTTGCCAAAGGGGTTAACCGACGGGAAGACAATCAGACAAAAGGAGAGCAGGAACACCTGGGAGGATGGAAAGCACATTGCATGAAGAAAAAGGAAAAGCAATCTTAAAAAAACCAAAACAAATCGGGGACTTTGTCTCACCATGACACACGTGCTGGTCGTGCTGGCCTTCAAGGTGGACATCTTCACCACGGCCTGCAGTTTCCTCAGCTGCTCTATTAAAGATCTGCGAGGGGACGACTGTGTTAATTTTCTATGAATGTGAGGTCGGGCATCATCAAGTCTTCTTACATGTTCTGTTTTTGCAGCATTTGGACTTTCTTCTGCAGCTCCACGTTGTGCGCGGTGCAGACGGCGACCCTGAGCGGGGAGGGAACAGACGAGTTTCACTCACTTCATCATCATCAAGTCGTTCATTAGCACGAGCAGCTTTTAACGCCCTTCCGGATTGTCTTTAATTTCGGAGAATGTGATTTACGTATGAATGACCTCTCCTCCTTGTGAGTGAGCGTTCTGAGCGATGCAAGAAGGTTTTTTTTAGCATTTGAATGGAGACTAAAGAGCGAGCTGGCTGTAAAACAATCAACCACCCACTTGCATGAGTGGCCTTCATTGTTTAGGCCGGGTGTGGGGGTGGGGGGCGAAGTTTTCAGGCTTTTGTCTGGCTCTCATTCCAAAGTACAAACAAGGAGAAATTCACCTCACCTGCTCTCTAAGCCGTCTACGTACACCTTCTTCTTCTTGCGACTCTCTTGAGCTGACTGCTTGTTGCGGATCTTCCTCCGAACCCTCTTCAGGGTCCTCTCCTCAGCCTGCGTCCACAGCAATGTCATGAGAAAATGTCACTATGAACGCTTTCAATGATCGATTTTTATAGATTGTATGAATGCATTCTTTCAGCCCGCGTCGTGAGCATGCTAACGGAAATCTGTCTTGCGGCGACGACCTCGTCACGTGTAATGATACGGTGCCGTACGACTCTCAATTATATTAACATAAAAACTCTTGATGTCACTGACACACAGCATACCGAAGTCAACTACATGAGGTAGAACCCAAACCGGCAAAACGAGAAAATATAATGAGAGTCCTCGTGAGTTTGGTCGGTCTATGGCTGTGGCTCTGAGGAATGTGACCATCTCACATGTCAGTGACGTGCGTGTGGTGTGTTTGTTACCGTTGCGGGTGTTGTGTGCCTTGATTGGTGTGTGATGCTCTGATGTTTGCAAATCTCATCCTTACTGGCTGCTACGTTTACCCGCTGGGTGAGGTTACCTTCGTAAGAGGCATATGGGTGGGAATAGTTGCTCCCTCTTTCGCCAAAAGTCGTTTCTCCTCCTCAGAGAGCACAATCTCCTTGAACTGGAACTGCAAAAAAAAAAAAAAAAACAGGCCCAAGAGCAGTTTTTGCATACAGTCCTGCACATTGGGATGATGACAATGGGAAGATCGCGAATGAGTTCCGAATGAACTGACCTGATCTGTGTAGTCGTGCTGCACGGTGTCCAGCGGCGAGTCCTCGATGGCCAGTGTACAAGGCAGCTCGCTGGCATAGTCACTGGCAAAGTCCTCCTCCATTTCCTCAGTCACCAGATTATCTGTGGGCGTGACTTAACGTAGGTAAGTTTTGCAGCACGCGGCGACAAATACATTGTATATATAAATGCATTCCGCGTGCGCGTGAGAGGCGCAACACAAGTAAGTGATTTAGGTGATAGGTGTCAATCACATGAGCGTTTACTTGCCTACAGTTACCGGTAATAAAAATGACCCGTGTACATGACACTGGGTGACGCACATAGTCGTCTTTGATTTCCGTTTCAAATTCCTAAAGGCGTGAATTATGATTAGCAATGGCCGCTCATGTACATGTGCCCGACAATCGCCTGGCAACCAATCCAAAGTTGACCCTGCCTCGAGCCCCATGTCGGCCGGTATCGGCTTCTGTTCACCCGGGACTCCAATAAGGACAAAAGACAAAACTCATGGATGGCAGCAACCTGCAGAGGATGTCCTTGGGTCCCCAACTAAAGAGGCTGCCTGAGAAATGAAAACAGGAAGAAGGCCTACACAGGAAGAGATTCCTTGGAATAAACAGTTTTCAACTGAAAAGGTCGAAGACCAACAGGGAATTCCAGTTAACAAGTGACTCAACACCCTGAGAAAGAAATGACCTGGTTGAATGAGAATATCCACAAGCGACCAAAACGCGATTTTACTTCCTGCCTGCTAGGACTGGCGAATCCTGACTTGTCAAAGGATTGTTTTAAAAGGGTGCTGACACATACCCAGATCGATGAAGACATCCATGTCAGGCTTCTCGGCCCACACGCTCTGCAGGGCATCCATGTCTTCACATCTGCCCCTGAGCAACGAGTAGCTATGATCCGCGTGGACTTGCAAGGCCTCCGGGTTCTCCGCTTGCAGCTCCTCGGCAACTAAGGCAGGCTCAGAGCACACTGGGCTCGAGTTGGAGTAGGTGCGACTGCACAAGACGTCGAGGTCGCCGCCCTCGGGGCTCGGGCAACCCACGGGAGTGCCATTGTCGATGCGGCCGGTGCTGCTGCTGGAGTCGGAGATGCCGCTATCGCTGCCCGTTGGGGAATGGGAGGGATAGTGAGTCTCTATGTTGTCCTCTTCCTGAAACAAGCTGAGCACCTGAGGGGGGGAAAACACCGACCGATGACAAACTTATATAACTGACACATGTCAAGTAAATCGATCACTCGTGTCTTGAGCTAATGATACAACAATGTTTATGCATATGACGCAGAGTCCTTGAGCACATTAAAGAGTCCAGTGGTATGAAATAGCAATCAACAACAGTTAAGACAACGTTTCAATAATTTAAAAATCTGTACTGTCATTCAGATATAAGAGAAATTAACCAATGCTAAATAAAATGAAATAAATAAATAAAAATATGTAAAACCAGTTCTACTTTTGAGGCTGGAGAGTCAACAAGAATGTGTTTGCACAGTGATACTGACACCTAGTGGCGTTTTACGGGTATTACTGGAAGTCATGCGAGTAGTGAATAGTCAGTACTGTATAATTAAATTGGCACCTGCTTGGTGAAATGAATTTGCAATTGGAATTAATATTTAATTGGTCCTATTTATCATATTGTATTGAGCAGCCGGTCTCTTTTCAGCGTCACAGAAAGTGCCATTATTGCTTTACTTTTGGTTTCCCATCATGGGCAAACATTCTCAAAATAATAATAAATAAATATATATATATATTTTTTTGCGCACATAAGATGCATTGTTTATGAAAAGTGAATCGTAGCCCTCTGAATTATAATCAAATCGTCAGGGAGGTACACTCTTGTGCACTGCTTCAGATCTGAACTCAAGTCATGCCGACATCACAAGATTTTTTTTTGTTCCCATTTTTAGATATCAATTCATTAATTAAAAACGAGACATTTAAAAAGCCTTACATCCTGTTCGGAGTGCCACGAATCAATGAGCGTACTGACGTAGTCAAATAGCTGCTCCTCGGATGATCCATTCAGGCCGTCATCAAACTCCAACCCGAGAAGGTCATCCAAGTTTGCCTGGTCTCCTGTGATTGCCATCTGCCATGGACATATTTCAAATAACGTCAAAACCACATCAGGCCATGTCACAAAAGAAGACGAAATGTATCTGTCATGTAAGGGGAATTAAGTATGGGCTGTTGCCAACAGTATGTTGCAGGAATCAAAACTTTTCACACGACAGAGTAATTATTCGACGTTACTTCATGTTGCATCACTCTGAGAATGACCTCATCTTCTAGTGTGCCCCGCCCCCTCACGCCTCACGTGATGCGTAAGCAATGTCAACACAAAGGCGACATTCAGCATAACGTGCAGTGAATTACAATGATTTCAAGGCCGAATGCTTTTCGCCTTAGAATTCCATAGTGAGATTGCGGACTACAGTGTCATGCAAAACAAACTCTTGCATTTGTTTGGCGTGATTACAATACACGACCTAGTGACGGTCGAGGGGGGTCAAAATTATCAAAGTGACACGCATTTTTGTGCACTTTTAACTAATGGCTTACATTACAAAAGCGTCCTTTTATGAGGACAGATGGACGTGATACACCAGTATCTGCAAGCCATTGGAGCTAATTAGCATTAGCTTGACTAGCAAGGTACGATTATCACACTTCAATGTTCTAATGAAACACGCCGCAAACTTCTTTCAGGACAGTGACTTCATATGGGAATCAAATTTCTTACCACAGAAGTTAAAATGCCACTTGAATGTATCTGGGTTTCGCCGTCTATGTTTTTGTTTTCGTCGTCCGTGTCTATGCTCAATCGTTGCTGTCAATTCACAACGTTTCCTGTTCCTGTGGAAAGCGTCCTGCTTCCAACAAGGCAAAAAGTGCGTCATCGCGTGAAGGCGGAAGTGGCAAGCGTTACCTCAGACGTAAATCTTACACAATGCATTCTGGGAAATAAAGTCTTCCGTGCGCTCTCCGCATTCCAATTCGAACTCCCAATTGCGATCGAAAAAAATCGTATTTTGCGTCCAATAAACTCAAGATTAAACGACAACAAATCAGCAAAGCGATTTACACATAGCTTTTTTTTGCAATTAATGTTAAACGACGTTTGCTACAACTTTTGATATTCCCAATCTGCTACAAGAAATTCAAGAGGTGACATTAAAGTAAAATAAAATGTCAAAAAGACGGTGACAGCCTGTAGCAGAACCTGTGATGCTATCATATGCCAACACTGTGAAGCTATGCGCTCTCTGCCAAGCAGACATAACATTTAAAATCTAAATCTATTTGGAATTAACACTGTAGATAGCAACAAAATCATTCTGTCTATTACATAGAGAATTGCTGAAATTTTAATTCAGGATACCTAATGTAATAATGATTGGTCATAGGGATCCCAGACGTCCACCATTTAGCGGAACGCTGTTTTTCTTGACCAAAAATGTTTTCTTTAAAAGATCAGCAAAATGTTCAGTTGGTTTGTTTACTAATGTGTTGGTTGGCTTCGCCTGTTCGCTTTGCTTGTACTCAAAACTATAATACAGATAAAAGAAAACTTTAAAGAAAAAACGAAACAATTTATTTCCAGTTTGTATATTTTGATCCTGCAATTAGATAATTTTAGATTGTGAACAGCTATATTGTAGCGTAGAGGCTTGTTGTCGTCGTTTGGGGCTGATGGATTGGAAGACAACCGTACCTGTTTATTGCTTTAGTAATAATGGTATTCATCCTCAAATACGCCAAATGTACTGCCACGCTGTTATATTGTATATCGTTTTTGTATTTTCTTTTGCAGAGTGAGGACAACGGGGGGCAGCATACACCACGTATAAACATTTTTGGTTCACATATTCAATTGTAGGTATGGCACCAGTGGATTAAAAGTAGAGTCAAAACAAATTACAAGTAATTTATTGGCTTTTCCAAACCTGTGGATCATCTCACAGAGATACATCAGGCATGATGGCAATGAAGCGTCTCTAAAGACATTGCAAACGGAAAGCTTATCCTGAAGTCAACACGCGTATGTGCATGCAAGCCTTTGCGCACGCTACAGTGATTTGATTATTCTTACGGGATGTTTTGTGCTCCATCGTACCAAAGGTCAAGTGTCAGCTACATTCACCCATTCAAAATGAACCGAAATCTTTGAGGACATCATTCTTTTCAAATCTTGTGGATTAGATCAAGTCTGTGTCAAAAAAATGAGGTACCGGTAATTAATTCCACATTCTCACAGAGATTAATTTCACCAGCTAAATGAAAGATATGAAAATAAGAAATTCCAGATTCCATTTTGTCCCATGATTTTAATGGACTCGCCTAACTGCCGGACATAGTTTTTTTTTCTAACCAAAATGCATCCCGCCAAATGTGGACAGTACTGAATATAAAATTTGATCGAGCTTCATGTCACAGGATCATACAGAGTTTGGATGTGTGCCGTAAACTGCGGTACACCTTTAGACGCTCCTTTTTCGTTGCTTTTGGTCCAGCTGCCTGCGTGGCCGTCGGTATGCTCTCGAGAGCGCGTCTCCTGTGAGCGCCGTGCAGCAGGATTCGATACACTCCCGTGATGGAACTCCTGCAGTCCTTTCCTTGGTTGTTCAGGATGTGTTCTGAGGTGATGCCAAGTGTCCCTAGTGCTGTAACTACTTCCATCTCCTCCAGCCCCAACTCGGATGGATCATTCTCTGCGAGGTGAGACGGTTCCAGCTTGAAGGGTTCCATGGGCCGCGGGAAGTCAACATGATGCATCCAGTCGCTGCCCATCACCTGTTCTACGGAGCAGCGGTCAGCCGGTAAGGGTTGGAGGATCGCCCGGATCAGTTTCTGGCATGTGTCCGGCAGCCAGGAAGGCAGCGTGAAGGCGCCTTCCAGGATGCACCGCTTCAGTTTAGCCACAGTGTCCGCCCTGAACGGCATGGTGCCCGTCACCATGAAGAAAAGCATCACTCCCAGGGCCCAGATGTCCACAAAGACGCCCACGTAGTTTTCATCCCGGAAGAGCTCGGGGGCGGCGTAAGGCGGAGAGCCGCAAAAAGTGTTGAGCATTTCGTCACGACGGCTCATCGTGCTGAAGCCGAAGTCGCCGACCTTGACACAAGAGCTGCTGGTGTAGAAGACGTTTTCTGCCTTCAGGTCGCGGTGAATTATGTTGTTTTCATGCTGTTGGCAAAGAACCGAACAGCGAGTGGATGAAATATGAAGACAACGACCAGACAATGAGGATCAAGCGTCAAGTAGAATGGCACACTAGGATAGCGAGATTTCCACAGGTATGATACCAACCATGTGTTTAACGGCAGACAGAATTTGAGCAAAGACAATTTTGCTGTCGGCGTCAGAAAGTTTCCCTTCGGTCGTGATTTTGCTGTAGAGCTCCCCACCACCAGCGTACTCCAACACGAGGTGTAACCGTGACAATGTCTCCACCACCTTAGGATTCAGAAAGAGGGAAAAGGGTGATCACAGTGGCTTGGTACACTTGAATGCCGAATGCCTCTCAAGACATAAACGGGTCAATCAAAAAAACTGCCAAGTGAGTCCAACCTCATAGAGGCGTATGATGTTCGGGTGATGTAGTTTTTCCATGCTGGAGATTTCTCTGGACAACAGACGCTGGGTCTTTTGATCCAGCTTGGTTTTGTCAAGGATCTTGATGGCCACTTTGTCTGGTGTTGTAGAGAAAAAAAGGGGCGATAAAGACATAGGGTTGCAAAGGACAAGGGCTGGGTGATATGAAGTTTATCGAAATCGAAATATGAACATTTAAGATATTCATATCGAAATGAGGATGATATCAGTCGCCAGCCAATCCAATATTTTCATTGATGGACAAAATCACGAACGTTGTCAATGTTAACAGTTTTATTATTTTTGTTCATATTGGAAATTCTTTTTTTTTTCTTCATGCAACTAAAAACACTTTAAAGTTGAATGTTTTCCGGTTAGAAACAGAAAGTGTTCATGTTCAGCCAAAGTGTTGATTTAGCGTTGCGCCCGCTGTACCTTTCGTGAGTGCATGGATTCCCAGCTTGACATGGGAAAAATTTCCACAGCCGATCTCTCCTCGAATTTTGTAGAAGCTGATTCTTCTGCCCACTGTGAGTTCACGGACCACCCTGTTGCCAAACCACCAAACAACAAACGGAGCGCAAATTGTAGTGTAGAGAGAAACTGAAGGGGAAAAAAAATAAAATAAAAATCTGAGCCTCACCTCTCATCTTGGCACATATCCAGGTTGAGTCTCTCCAGCGGAGTAAGGCGGCGGACGGTGGCGCCTTCGTCATCCGTGTTGATGTCGGAGCTGTCCTGGTTGCTGTAGCGCGTGTACTTCTGCCCGTGGGCATCGACCGCTGGGTCTCCAACAGAACTTCCGGCAGGATCTTCAACGGACTCCCCGGTGTCGACCCCGGAAACAGAGCTGCACCCCGTGGCTCCGGCGGCCCCGGCCCCTGCTTCGGCCCCCTCCGGGCTGCTCTCTGAGGGGCAGACGGCGGTCATCCTGCCAACGGACACCCTGGGTGGGTGGAGAGGGAGTGGGAGGGGCTTACCTCATGGCAGCTGGCGATGGAAAACAAACCATTCGATTTCAGTGTTATATTGCACTTGACGATGATGATGTCAAACACGGTCGTCGTATTTCAATTCGAGGGTGTTCTGTGCAGCGCCTTTTTGAAGTCGTAATCTACTCATGCAAAGATGCGACTGTAAATACATTGCCGTGTTAACACAACATAATACATTGCGCAATACAAAGTTCAAGAGAATGTATTTTGAGATGGAGGTTGACTTTCTAATTTCAAATCCAATTTTCCCCACTTCTGTCGAGGAAATGTCATCAAGTTAATTTGTTCCCGGCTAATAAGTGTCAAACCTTTATGAACTGTACAGATGAGGTCTGAAGTCGTATTTAACCATTATCAACTGCCATACAGCATCAAAAGAAACAAAAGTGTAAGTTATGGCTTCTATAAGCAAAAAATGGCTCCCCCCATTGATACGCAACCAACAGTCAAAATATGCTATCATGTTAGCAGGCTTCTCTGGAAATGTTGAAATTCAGTTTGGACCGGTTGGATTTTTGAGCTTTCCAGTCCAATATCATACACATATAATATGTATGTTTATATAACAAAATAAAATCATGATGGACAGGCAAATAATCTTGCAAACAGTACGAAAAACTCTTACCTTGAGCTATATGAGCCATTCGCCTGTGAATTGTGTCAGTGTCTTTATCCAAATGTCAGACCTTTTAAAAAAAAAAAAAAAAAAAAGTCGCATCAACAAAAATGAGAACACTCCAAAGTGTCAGCAGTACTTTTCCTTTTAAATTTTAAAGTATTTATAATCTTGTCAAGGCTCAAGATGAGTCTGCGGGCGACCGTCAGTCGTAACCTTTGCTGCGTGGGCGAAGAAGCTGGAGACTGGAGACAGGCGAGAGGAAGTGTCAGGAGAGTCATCCACAATAGAGGCGTTGACCGAAGAGGTTAGTGTGGCTTAAAATGGGCTCATTTGAGTGTCCGAGGTTTAAATATAACACAGATTGAAGACGAGGCTGAGAGGGGATGGGCGGGGGGATGGAGTGGGGAGGGGGTAGCAAAGAGGTGGAACAGATGATAGTGTCAGGGGTGCGGACATTTATTGCCACAATCGGGAACAAATCCAAGACAGAGAAGTCAGGATTTCAATTTCTTAATCCGGACATTTAGAGTAATGAGTCAGCAATCGAGATCAGCGCGAAGTGTGAACGTGTGGTTGACACCGTGCAACGTCAACTGCGGGCTAAGGTTGCTATGAGAGCCAGAACAAACAAGACACACATCCTCATCACCCTCGTGCACCATGACAAAAGGACCCCACTAACCCGCCTCTTGTTTACACACTCCTTTAGGGGAAATTCATCATATAATACAAGTCAAAGACCATTGCTGGTCATTCCACAAAACTAAGGATGGACATTGTTGTTGTTTTTTCATCATCTCGATCAGAAATTGAGGATAAGTGCTTGGGAGAATGACTGAACAAATTTGAAAAAAAAAACGATGTGAAAGCTGATCGACTTAGCGAGCAAGGTCAGTTTTTTTTTTTCGACGACAACTTCTGAGTTCCTCACTCGGTGCTCCTTGCTTGGTTTCAGCCAAGTGGGGACATTCACGAGGTCCCCAACGCCTTGTTTTGTGTAATAAACAGTCAATACAATTCGAACTGTGAACATCTTAAGAGGTCTGAAATTCACCAATCCATTTACAGTAAACGCAAGGATCAAACCAGACAATTTACGCAAGCATCTATTTAAGACACCGTATATTGGGTGGAAAAAAAAAAAAAGAATGAAATGTGCTTTACTATTTGTCTGTTAGTGGAAAAAGACAAATTCTCTCATTCATCTCCATATTAAAATGAGCCCATGTTACAACTGCGCCACGAAATCAAAGGGTCTTTTTTTAGATGTGCAATCTCTGAGCAATCAAACACCACGGATGAATATTTCAGCATTGATCTCGGGCAACCCGACAAGGACATGAAAAGAGAATAAAGCAGCCTTTTGTGTGTGTAAATATAAAGAAGTAAAAAAGGACGAACACGCACGAGGTAAACACATGAGCTCTGAAATGAGATCTTCTTGAGAATTGCCACTACTAATAAAAAAAAAAGGAAAAACAGGGTGGGTGCACTTTTGCAATAATGGCTTCAAATAGCGCTCTACACACCCGCTGCATGCAGATGAGCAGTATTCTCCACAGTGTCCCGTGCTCGATCCCTCCGAAACAACAGGTTGCTTGGCAAGGGTGTTTGTCTTTGTCAGGCTGAGGACCGAACACCCACCATTAGGGAGTGTGTCAAGAAAGAGAGCACACATGCGCCATGTTTGTCGTCGCACGTCACTGCATTTAACCTGAGCGTTTTTTTTTATTTTTTACGTTAAATACAGCAGATGGCGGATTAGTGCACACAAATCAAGCATCAGGGATGATGTCGAAACGCACGACCCCCCGTTCAAATGAGCATTCTTGAAGGAGCGACGAGTGGCGCTGTCACTCTCACTATTGCGATGGACATTAAAAATTGATTGAATAAAAAAAAGGGTTTTGGGGAGTCGTCAAAAACAAAATTTGAGAAATGTTAAATGTCCCATTCTGCCTCGAGAGGAGTTAATGACAAATAAAATCAAAACAGTAAAGAAAGTGGAATGGCTACGAGTACAGCACAGGCCTCTGCTGAAACGGTAGAATCCGACGTCAGACTTTATTTTGTCAATTATCAATCAATTTTTTAGTGAAAATCTGCATTACTTTTGCTTGTCATGATTGCTGATGAAAATGCTGGAACTTGGAATCAAACCCGAGCTCACAACAGCCAACTCTGCACACTCATTTGCTGACGCACGTGCCACTCACTGGGCCCGTCCGCACCTTCTAAAGCCACACACACTCAACTTCACAAATATTACAGTCTGGAAGGAGAGAATGGCGCCCCCAAGTGGACAACAGTGATACCTGCACAGCACGTACACATTTTATTGCGAATACAAAAACCATTTTTTACCAACTTCCCGATTAATCAATGGGAAAATTAGTACTTGATTCTAAAAATTCAACACCCACAGCCCTAATATGAGACGACTTGCGTTCCAAGCACAAGCACGAATCTCCACCATGCAAGTTGGCCGCGGTGTCCGTCACACGTCAAAGTTTTGGGCGAGTACAGGGAGTTGCGGGTTCAAATCAAATTGGAGGCCAAGCAGCGTCCAGCAGATTGTGTTCAACTTTATTATAAAGGATTCTGTCATATACCTTTCGACTGACTGCTAACATTTCTGATGACCACTTGTGATGGCACACAAACAGTGTGCCCTTGTCCTTCATCAGCCAAGAATGGCTCCTTACTCACCAGGTGATTTGTCTGAGGGTCCCCGGAGGGGGTTTGCGCGGTGCTGCTGAACACACTGCTGGCATCAGCAGCCTCTTCATACACTTCAACAATGGAAAACACTAGAGCCCATCCATCGCAGCTGTGGATCAAAAAAGAAGCACAGTTTCCATTTCGGCACACTGTTCCATTTGTATCATTTTGGTTTTACTCTTCCTGCGTCAATTGGGTCTGTCTTCGCGCCCGTGTACTTTTGCAGTCATTGCAACATTTTCACACCACAGGCATGCATCTGGGCGCAAAGGAAACGCACACACATTCAGATGCTGAATAAGTGCACTTGAGTAAATATAGACACAAAAGTGCTCTTGCAAACACACGCATGCAGCAGGCCCTCTCTACACAAAGCTCCCCGTTGTGTTAATTGAAATGCACGGTTGACAAGGACTGAGAGCTCAGCAGCGCAACAATGGAGACTTAACAAAGGGAAAGGCCCCTTTGGAATCCATAGTGCAAGTATGACACATTGTCAAACTGCATGGTGAGTGATGACACTCAAGCATTTGAAACAAACAGAGTGGGAACTATCTTGTACAAGTTTGAACCTGAGGCCTTCGTAAAAGTGACCCTAGCTCTTGGTAGGGAGTGCGGCAACATCTACCATCCATTTGGACAAGAGAGACGTCCATGGTTTGCAAGTTATTGCATTTCAAAGGGTTCGCCATCAAACATCAAGCGTAAATACTGTATGACACACAATCAAACACGTGCTCTGACTTTATGCTTGAATATACATACAGATATATATTTGGCATCCAACACAGTGCAGAAAAAAACAGAATAAGAACCACATATGGCACTTTGTAGGTAATTGCCCATGAAGGTCTGCATCTGATTTAATTGGTAATCCATGCACTTGTGGACACTCTTGTATGTAAATGAGAAGAGAAGATGTGTAGAATGTCTGTATCTATGCGTGAATTTCAATTTTAAATGTATGTATTGCTTGTACGTTTTGAAAAACTGCATCGCTGGCGTCAGGCCGAAACCTCCTGTCAATCCTGAACAGATTACTGTACAATGACATGCATGTCATCACATTGAGGCGAAAATTTAATTGGACAAAAAAAAAAAAAGTGACATTCTGAAAGCAATACAGCCGAGACAAAAGTTTCAAGATCAACAAGACTGACTGCTGGAGGGGGGGGGGAGAGAAATTAGCCCTAAAATTTCTGAGAAAAAACTACTGGAATTAGGTTGTACATTGTAGATTAGTGTTTTATATTGTATTGAAAGCCTTGCTGGCCCTGACCAACCAGCACTGGCGACTGTGACTGTATAGGTAGCTATCATCAACGTAAGGAATTTTGAGTCCTCTTCGCCTTTTCTTGTTTTTCAAAAAGTAAATAAATACTCGTCGTGTTTTATTGTGGAATTATACCGGACAAAAGAGGAGACTGCGTGGCAACCCTTTTAAAATTCAATTAACAGGTGTTACAGGTGCAAGACCAGTTTCCATGTACTTGACCGACTAATGTACAGACAACGTTTTGTGGCTAAAAAAATAAAAATAAATAGAAAGAAAGGGGTTATTTATGAAGTAGGGTTAAACCCCCCGGGAAGCAACAGGTGCCGGAGACAAACTCTGTTAACCACCAAGCTAGCTTGAAAATCAGTCTGATCCTAAATTAGATTAGTGTGTGCGTGTGCCAGGTGATGATGCACACAATTCAATTACATATTCTGGACAGCGAAAAAAACTCGACAGGCGGCTAATCAACGTCTGTGGTATTAAAAAAAATAAGAATGCAAAAAAGACTTCATTTCACGCATGTGTGACAACACACAGCGTGAAAGTACATCACTATTGCGTCCAGTGAGTCAACAGTTAGCACCCACACGTAGTGGACGTTGCCCGTGTGCCGCCAGTGCTTCTACTCAAAACACAAATAAGCGGGCCAATTCGTGATGGTTCCACAAATAGCGGTTACCTTAATGTATTTGTTTGGGAAAGCTCCACCGGATTTCTCGAAGAATCATTTTGCCGTACGGGTGGTGACATTGGCTGCCGCGTCTGCTACCCGGGTTGATTCTGTTGCCAAGGGGAAATTGTTTTGAGCGGCTGCCGAGTGAGCCAATCAGAGCTAACTTCCGGATTGTTTCGTAGGGGTGTTTTTGCGTTCGACCAATGAGGATGCGTGAATTGCCAGGAGGCGGTCTGGCTGACGGACTGAATTAAAAAAAAAAAAATCAACCAACCTTAAGGTAAAAAATTAAAAAAAAAATCCACTTTGTGCCTCACATCTAATCATCATTATACATTACTCACCTGGGAAACCTTACTTCCACCCCATTAAAAATCATGTGCCTGTACACAGATACATGGTACACATCCCTTTTAGCAGGCCACTAACATCTCCATTATCAACACTACCCCACCGCTCATAAATGGAGCAGAATAGAACACCTAAGGCGAGGGTGATTCCCAACCATTTATGTGCTGCTGCAAATGATCAAATTTTACCCGCTTCCATTTGATTTTTAACAATTATTTATTTAGCACAAGTAAAGCATCTTGTTCGTCCATGGCAGGAGGAACCATAAAAGCTCTGGATTCACCTGTTGCCCTTCATTCAACAGGCTCTGAGTTCACATTGAGACCAGATCATTATTTCAGGATATACTTTTTGTGACAATTTTGTCTGTGTGCCAAAAGTTTGGGAAATACTGCTGTGCGAAGGGGAAAAAAACTCATGTATTAGCGAGTATACCACAGTTTATTTCTACAAAAAAAATATTTGTTATAGCTTGAACAAAACTGCAGCATGGCCACTGAGGAATAGAAGGTGTAAAGCAAAATCGTTTTACCAGGTGAACAAAGAAAAAAAACAAAAAATTAAAATCGCTCATAGCTTCAATTGCGATAAGATGCCAACTTTGAAATAAATTCAACAACATTGTCCATTTGTCAGAGTTCAGGGGGTGAGAACATGACCGCGAAAAAACTGGAATTTGGTGTTTATCATCCTTCATGCATTGTTCAGCTCGTGCTTTCATACGACCACTGCTTGTATGGTTTCCTCCATGTTCATCATCTCTTCCTCCAACTCAACTTCCACCTGAGGGTGGGCCACCTGCTGCTCGTCCATGTCGCTGGAGGCCACGCGCACCATCTGGATCTGCACGCCGGCCTGCTTCAGTCTCTCCACATCCTCCTCGCACATCTCGGCCACGCCTCCATCCTCCACCACGACCGTGGTCGTCTCCTCCATTTCCATGACCTCGATTGGGTTCACCGTGATGTTCTCTACCTGGATGCCATCTTCCAGCAGCACAGTTTCTGTGGCCCCGATGGTCTGTGTGGTGATGGTGAGCGCTGCCGTAGCTGTGGCGTCAGTGATGGCCAGTTCTTCCATTGACTTTTCATCCTCTATGGAGTGAACATCTTTGAGGTGCGCCTTAAGCTCTTGGGGGTCAGTGAACCACAAGTCACACATGGTGCAGTGGTTGGGCTTGTCTCCTGTGTGGCTCACGAGATGATCTTTGAACTGGTCCCAGCTGTTGAACACACTGCTGCATTCCTAGAGAACAAGGACAACACCTTAAGACAGGGTACACGCCAACTGCATGTTAGACTAATTCTTATAAATAATTCGTGGAAAACACTCCCTCACCAACTTCTGTTTCCGTTTCTAAATGTGGCACTGATGCAATTGCACTGATTTGCACCATGTTTACATTTCATTTTGAAAAGAAGGGTACCTGAAATACTGTGTCCAATCAACCAATCCAAAGATCTCCCATTTATTTTATAAAAAAAGGGGAAAAAATGTGCAAATGGGCTTGAATTTGGCCACTATTAATGGTCAACAGTGAATTTTTGTCAGAGATGGCTTTGTGTGTCCCTAAATGTATTTTTGATGTTGATTTCAAAATGTTTTTACCTTTTTCAAACATATTTTTGGGGGGGGGGGTTCGGGAGGAGGGGGGACTACAAAAGCGTGTACAACACATTTTACCAAGCGTTGTGTACTTGTTTATAGCTATGATGCTTCAGGGGGAAAAAAAAAATACACCTGTTGCTGAACCTAACCCTTAATTCAGAAATATGACCAAATACATTTACACAATTTACAATTTAATTATTACATTATCATTATTATCTGGAAAACCTGATTTAAGATTTAAAAAATAATGCAGATTTAGAATCAACAGGGGAAAAAAATTCTAGAAATGTTTCGTGAAATCTGATTAAAAAAATAAATAAAAATTTGTTTTGACCAGGGTATTTAATCAAGGAAATTTTGTAAAATTCCAGATAAAAACAGCATTTTCATTTTAGTCATGAAGCTTGATGCATTTTTTTCTGAGAAATTAAGGAAAATGTATAAGGCTCACAATGCTAACAAAAACAGACAAATTAAGTCGGTTTGGTTCAACCTTGATAAAGACAACTTATCAGTTCTGCTCAATACATGACAATGCAACAAATCTATGGCTCCATCTTCACTCATGTGGGATCTCGCTGCAGTGAAGTACCTGGCATTCATAGAGTTTCTTGCGTCCTTTCTTGGCTCCAGCCCCGTTTTGACAGGCCGCCATATGGCACTTCAGCGTGCTGTTCCTCGCAAAACGTTCATGGCAGTCAGGACATTCGTATGGTTTTTCACCTACGGATTCCACACAGAAAAGCAAGCAATGTAAACACGATGCTACGAAACGCCAACATTATCGACAACCCGTTTCTGCCTCACCGGTATGCTTTCGTAGGTGCTCCTTAAAGTGTCCAAAGTGGTCGAAGTGCTTCTTACAGTGCTCGCAAACGTGAACTCTCTTTGGGGCTTTCTGGTTCTGAGCCTGCTCCTCTGCATCAAAATGGAAGGAGGTCAAGTGCTGATTCAAGGCGCCCTCCCGCGTGTACGCTTTGCCGCAGTGGCTGCACACGTGCGGCTTCTTCGGCAGACCGAGGTGCGTTTTCATGTGCTGCTTGAGGTGGTAGTACAACTTGAAGATTCGGTTGCACTTGCTACACTGGAACGCGTTGTCCACTTGAGAAATTTGGACCTCCACCACCTCCACGTTCTCCAGTACCTTGGAGGCTGTCACCGTTTCTTCCTGATAGAGGACTTCCTGTACCAACATAGACAAAGGCATATCGAAGGACAGGTTGAAAGGGCTTCATTATCACTTTTATCATTATTACATGCTTGAATTATTATTATAATGATCATCACACATACTTTGTGGTGCATTTTACTGGGAATGATAAAGAAAAAAAATAAACATGCATTTCATTTATTAAGCACTCAAGAGTGCATAAAGTCATTGCTGTACATATGCATCAAGTGAAACTGACAGATTGGGATGAAAATTATAGGAGCTTATTATCTTTGATGCACAGTATTTCATCACTCGTTTATACATAGTAAAAAAAAATTGTTTTGTTTCACTATGATGAAAACAATGAATTTTGATACTCATATTTTCATTATTACCATTAAAATGAAAAAGAAAGGGCCATTGTCAGTTATTTTTCACTCATTATCATTATGACGATCAGCATAGCGAAAATAAGATAAGAAAACCTTTAATAGTCCCACAATGGAGAAATTCCCACTTCACAGCAGAAAAGTTATGAGAAATGACTACATCGGCGTTTTCGAGCTTGGTTAGGAAAGCAAATAAAAATCCGTGTCACTGTCGGCTGGACAAAATGAAGCTCAACGCACCTCTTCTATGTCTTCCTTCTTGATGACCTCGAGTGAAGGTTCCCCCTGCTGATACTTGCTGGTGATGTCTGCAAGCAGAGCCAACGCGGAGTCGTTTGATTGGGCATTCTTTGCGGCGTCCACCATCTCCTCCAGCCCCGGGTCCTCCACCTCGATGGCACCATCTGCTAGCATCTCTATCTCCACCTGGGAGAACATAACCCAGGCCAACCGACTTCATACCACTTCAGCGCTTAGAAATAATTTTCACAAAAAGTGGTATTAACCCTGACAACTAAAGAACACGAACCGGTTCCCCTTCCACTGTGGGTAGGACTTCTGTGATGACACAAGACGTCTCCGCGATCTTCCTCTTTTTGTTGGTGCTTTTTGGCAGGACTGAAGAAGGCTCATTTATCCTGCAAGAAAACATGCTCGTTTCATCTTGTGTACTCAACAACAAAATTAAACTTTCTTTTTTTGAATGGAGGTTCCAAAAACGATAACAGCACTGCGTAGACAAAAACGTAGCTAGGTCTCGCGTAAATAATCTCCAATTTTAACAAGACGTTCAAAGTTAAACTATAGTTGAAGTTAAATGTTTTGCTTTTAACCAGCAATGAAAAGCCCTTTTGATTGTTATGCTCAAACAGCAAAAGCAAGAGTGCCCCACGTGTATTTTTAGAGGAAATTCCATAAAGATGACAGAAAAAAAGCAAAATGTTTTTCATGTCACGGGCAGTACACACACTGAACATTTGTCAAGCTTTCTGATTTTTTTTTTTTTTGCCTCAAACGCGTACTCTGTCAGATATTCATCTTTCAAATGATGTCAAATTTTGAGCAACAACCTATAGTTCCTGAAATACTGGCGTGCGCCCATTCAAATAACCAACTCATTTTTAATATACCAAAAACATTTTGGACTACAACATTGCTGTACTTACTTTTACTAAGAATGATACCACCCTGTTTCGTCACAAAATACCTGTAGAGACAAAAGGCATCTGGAAAGCCGAATTTTCCTGTCTAATGAAAGAAAATGATGCTGCATGTAGTTTTCTGGAGCACACGTTGCAAAACCTGTCAATAGCATCATTTGCTAAAAAGAAAAATGAAAGACCTATCCCTAAATAAGCACATTACTTGGGAGTAAATGCATATACCCAGCTACAATATGCGGACACGTCATCATCCTTTTGGTCAAAGAAGACGCCTTTCAAACACCAACAAGGACAAGTTTCATTGTAAGCAAGTCTTACTTGTTGGCGAGTGCCTTGATGGCTTCCTGCATCTGGAGGTATTCGGCAGCCTTCCAGACGTCAAAGGCTTCTTCTTTACCCGCCACGGCTAACGTGGCCGTGTACGTGAACTCCATCAGTTGCCTGAACGCCATGTTACTCACTCCTGAAAGAGAACAACAACGCGAAAGTGGCGGGTTTATTTTTAGGAAGCCAAATTACTTTCAAAATGTCATTTTCATAGTTTCTCATCATGTTAAAAATCCGAAAACAAACAAAAAACAACAACTTTACAACAAATAGACGCAAGCGACATTTATAAGTCACCAGAAAGCGTACCTTCGATCTCCACCAGCGGTTCCTGGGTAAAATCCTGGAAAAATTTGTGAAAAAATTGACTGCAGGCTGCCAACACCGCCTTATGTGCTCGAAACTGGTGCCCTAAAGGAAAAACACTTGTTTAGGACATTGCAGCAGCACAAACTTCAGACTTGCATGACACAGCTTTAAATTCGATTTTATTCCTCTCAAGTGACACAATTTGTTTATGTGTTATCGCTTTTTACCCACAAGTACAGATGACGACTGACAGAACCCTTTCTACGATTCCTCTCAAGTGACACAATTTGTTTATGTGTTATCGCAGCGTAACCAGAAAAAAAAGGGAAAAGAATTGGCTATCGGATCGGGAATCAAGCCCGTTCCGATTCAGCCTCTTCTGAATGCGGGGTAAAAATCCAATACGTTATCAGGAATCTGACAATGTGAGTGTAGCATAAATGCACAGATTGAAAATATTCATTAATAGTGAACGCGACGCTGACATAAAATACATTAAAAAATTGTGACTATAATGTAGATTGGACGATATGAAAAAAATATTCATGTGATCATTTTCTTCATTGCAATATCGTCCAGCTCTATCATAAACGTATCTGTGTCACTTATACATGTAGGGAAAAAAATAACACATTTATTTAGTTTAAACCGTATGGACATCGTTATTGACCACTTGGTCCTGCAGTGAAATTTCAGCCACAGAGGATGTATCCAAGATTCACCTACCATCTACAATCAAAGTGATATCTGTGAACTGATCCAACTGTCGCTGTTCATTCAGTTTGTCCATCATGACTTTGTAGTGAGCGGGGAACTCACTGCCTCCGATGACTTCAGCCGCCATTATTCACCAGATTCTTTCCTATCAGAAAAAAATATCAGGAAAAAATTCATTCATTCATGTGTGAAAAGAAAATAAACCGCATCTAAATTGGAATTCTATGGACAGGACCTCAACGTAGAGCAATGCGTAAACGTCTATGCGCCACCACTAGTCTTGCTCTTCATGGGGGGCATATAAAAATTTACTTTTTAATTGCTTGGACTTGCACTCAGTTCGGTTTCTGGAGTATCTGACCACGCATCAAGTGTGAAACCAAACCACCAAAGTAAATCTTTTGTCAGGGGCCTATTTCTGTAAGGCAATAGCATTTGTTTAGATTAGCCCGCAGTGTCTTCATTTGCCATCTAGACAAATAGGGGTTAAGATCTCCTGTTCTGAAGAGAGTCAGAGTCCTGCGAAGTCTAAGGGTGAGAATAAGTAAGATATCCAAACTTTTGAGACACAACGGCATCCATGGAGCAATGCACAATGGAGTTTTATTTTTCTTATGACATTTTACTTTTGCTCTCTTCATTTGAAAATGGATATCTGAACTTGGGCGTCTTACTTTTTTTCAACTGTGGATGAAGATATGACGAAGAAAAACAAACAGTGAGAGGTAAAGTCAATCACGGCGGCGATCCTAAATAATTTATTGAGATCTATGGGGACTTGTAAAATGAAAAAAAGCGGCAACACCAACACGGAGGAAACCAAGACAAACATCGAGGCAACATTCGGAGAAGCAGGCAGGATGTAAGTGTAAATAAGAGGGAAACTATTTTGTGTGTATAAATTCTTTATTATTTTTAAATCGTGCGACTACATTTACCGTAGGTCAACTACAAGCAGAAGTTGTATTTATATACCCCGAAAAGAAATAAGGTGATGCAGAATGCAGTACTGTACACATAGAAGAGATCCAAATGAGACCCAGGTCGTAAAGCAGGAAAGTGGTGCTTGCACAATGCCGAAAAAAACAACGGACTAAGTTTAAAGCCAGACTATTTAAAACCTGTGTGCCTTGACTATGAAGGAGACAAGACGGATTTCATTGTGGCGCGACATATTTATATATAATACCACCATGCTAGCCTGACTGCACTTCCACGTTAGCACGCCCAAATACAAAACAACTACATCCAAGTGACTTTCTACAATAAAATCCTCCAAACTGACTCACCTGTGTCGAATACATCTATGCCATCATCCCTGTAATTTAACATGGTCAAAATAACCACAGAGCACCAACTGAGTGTTACCGATAACATTAACAGGCCCCTTAGCATGCTCGACATTTCGCGTTTGACAATCACCATTACGTCATCAAACCGCGCATTAAAATACACTTTTTCCCGGACACATTTTCCGATTGCGACCGCCACAGTTCACAAAATGCGACGAAAAGCGTCGCTAAGCATACCTCGAGGTCGTTTATGGTGCTTTAGAGAGTTCTTTGTCGGTGACCATTCCTTCGACGCATGTAGCGCTGGCTATGCTTGTCTCGCTTGCTCCAAAAAGGGCGGTCGTTGGACGCTAAGGCCTCCGATTCCCAGAAGCCTTTGCGGCCTTAAAGGACGCCTCGTTGCTTGGCGACAGCCTTGTATTGTTTCGATGAATGAATTACACCGAAATCCTTGTTAGATTTTACCACATTTTCATTCATGGACTGCTTGATTTTTAAACGAACAAACATTCTTGTTTTTAGTGTAAAACATCAATTAATTCTTCCATTTTTGGAAATCTGCGAATCTCCAGTACAGTCTGTTGACGGCCATCAGAGGGAAATTGTAATTTTTCAATTAAAACACTTTTCCCCCCCATGGTCAGCAGCCACTCCACTTCATAAAAAGAACATTGCGGAGGTCACTTGCGCCCTTGAAGTGCAGTAAGTGTTTAAACTATAGAGGACCATTATTTAATATAAACTATAGCCAACCATTATTATAACTTCTGTTGCCTATTCATCTTATTATTGGATATCCCCTGGTTGTAATACAGTTTACATGTGTAAACGAGATTAAAGGTGTTAAATGTGACAAAACACAGCTTTAGATTCTTCAGAATTTTCGAAGTAGCTCCAGCTTCCTTCCACATTTAAAACATATGCGTGTTAGGGTAAACAAAAAGGTCCCAGCTCTTTTGCCTGTGCCCTGCGTACAAAGCAAACAACACTGTACCTACTGTGAAACAAAAAGCAGGCTCTGCTACGACATGAGGCCGCTTGTCTTGAACCTGTGGTAGGTACAAAGAAAGCCTCAAGGCCAACAAGGCATTCTGGAGCAAAACGTGAGCCAAAAAGCTTGGTTACAGTTGCAGGTCATGGGTTTTCCATCCATCCATCCGTTTTCTGAGCCGCTTAACTATCCTCACAGGGGTCGCAGGGTGTGCTGGAGCCTATCCCAGCTGTCTTTGGGCAGTGAGCGGGGTACACCCTGAACTGGTTGCCAACCAATTGCAGGGCACACATAAGACGAACAATCACCCGCACTCACACACACCTAGGGACAATTAGAGTGTTCCATTAATCTGCCACGCATTTTTTTGGAATGTGGGAGGAAACCGGAGTACCCGGAGAAAACCCACGCAGGCCTGGGGAGAACATGCAAACTCCACATAGGAAGGGATTGAACCCTGGACCTTTGCACTGAGAGGCCGACGCGCTAAACAGTCGACTACCGGGATAAAGACACGGCTAATTGAAAGAAGAAAACAATAATAATGGCTTCAGAACAAAATTCATTGGACAATTTTAATTAAAATAGTGATATAAACACTAGTGGACATCCGTGAAAAAAAACGAAACATGCAGTCTGGAGAAGGCACCAAGTTAAACTCCCAATTTGTACCATTTTGAGGGCGCTTGTAAACATATATTGTAGCCATTGTCTTTGAACCTCAGAAGGTAAATAGCATAATGAATCACAAAGCTCAGTCATGTACCCTTGACTTGGAGATGAAAGCTAAACCTCCAACATATAGCTCTCTGTCCTTCTTCCTTTAAACCAAAGCCCTGTGCCTCTCATGATCAAGGGGCCTTTTTCAGCCGAGGGTATGAGAAAGCGCTGATGTCAAACAACGGCCACAGATGTGCTGAATGCGATACTTGTTAGGTCAATGTGCCCTGTGCGATGCCAGCCTTTGTCAATGAGTGACATTACATTTCAGGAATCATCTTGTTCTGGCAAGGGCACCCTGGATCACGCCTTGCACTGCTGTCTCTTTTATTCTTATTGGGCTCATCTGCTTTATGATCCGAATAAACTCGGACAAGAACTTCGATTGTCTTGGCAGTCAAGTAAAATTATGCAACGCATAGTTTTACACCTACTGTCCTAGTTCATCTTCTAATCAGTTACAGCGGGTCCACTTAAGTGATGATATGCAAGACTTTGGTAAAGCTCACAAGGCTTCACAATGACTCCCAAGCCTGGAACAAATTAATTCTCTGTAATATCAAATAGGGCAATGTTTTTAAAAATTAGAACTAATTATTTTGTAGAATTTCACAAGTCCGCCACTGTAGTTAGAAAAGTCAGAGCAAGACGGCACTTAACATGTCAGCTCAGACTTTGAGCCTTTTTATGACAAGAAAAAAAAACCCTTACTGGTATCTTAACGCTTTTATGATTTATTTCTCTCGAAATAAATCAATGTATCTAAATGTACCACAAGCTGAGGAGTTCAATCTGCCTGTCTTTATATGGACTTTGCACAAAAAGTCTGGCCACCCACCAGAGATCCACCCTCTGTTCTTTTCCAGCTGTCCTCTCTCCAAATGTGTTGCACAACTTGTTTTTTTTCCACTACCTCCATGCCTACAAAAAGCAAAGTATGAAAGGTGTTGCTTCTGAAATCGCAAAGCAAATGCATGCACGGTCTACAGCACCAACATCTTCTTGTCTTGAAATTATTTGTCAGCCTGTCAGCGATCGCTCATCGTTTCCAAAGTGTCGCAATGTTCACAGTAATACTGAAGTGATTTATAAGGTAAATAAAAAAGTGTCGCTCTCAGCAAAAAAAAAAAAAAAAAAAAAAAAACAGCTCAGATTGACCTTTGTTCTGCTTTTGGTCGGACGAAAACAGGCAGAGTATAAAAGGAGGGGGGAGCAACTGAGGGGCACACTTGTTTTTGTACAAGGGGCTGCTGCAACTCAACGCTGCGGAGAGGCAAACCTTCGACTAACAGGTATAAGATACATTTTTAAATGATGTGAATGAACATTTGTAGCTTTGCGCAAAAGCATTTTGCCACATGCGAAATATTTTTTTGGGCGGGGGACGCACGAGGCATTTTGGGACTCGTTTGTGCTGATTATTTGCCTGGAAAGAACACAAAAACAGATTGCTTGCTGAAATCAACGCGAGTGTAGCACGGTGGTCTCTTAAGTGGGGTTTGCATGTTCTCCCCTTGTTGCCGTGGGATTGATTTTTGTCTTCGGGCTTCCTTTCAGATTCTAGCAACTTGCATTTTAGGTTCTTAAAACACGCAAACTCCACATAAGAAGATCAGAACCGTGATGGCCAAAAACTAGTTCACAGTTCTGCCTTACAGGAAAACACAACACTATTAAAAAAAATCATAACCAAAAAAAAAAAAAAAAAACAACCTAAAAAAGCTAAAGGTGAACTCGAAATTTCAAGGCGGCAACATTTTAAGTTGGGCAATTCAACTAAATATTTTCAGCTTTGCTCCTATGAAAACTGGCTTATGTGCATTTCGGAACAAAGAAAAAAAGTTGACAGAACTGATTTGTACTCAACCCCAACTGAAAGATTTTAGTGAAAACAACTCTAAATTGTTTTGGAGCATACAGCTTGCTTGCTTTTTTGTGCGAACTAAAATTGTTATCTTACAAATCAATAATTAAAACAAACAAAACAAAAAAATCAAAGTTAAATGACTGTTTTCAGCCACAAATATTTACAGTGACGATTCATTAATATTTTTATTATTATTTCTCTAATAACAAGGAAATAAACTGCACAGACAATTCCTAATCAATATATCTCACTATAAATAATTCCAACCAAATATTTCAATGCATTTAGTTCTGAAATATACGTTTTCTGATGATGTCCACTTCAAGGCGAAAATGATGGTGGCGCACTGATTTCCATCCCATGCCCTAAAAATACGCTTCAATTTACATGAGGCACATTTTATCACGAAGGGGCATCTTATTTCTGGTGTTCTTTTTCTCTCTCAGCAGATAAGGGAGGCGAGGAGGTGCAGGAGGCATGTGGGCCAGCCTCAGCCTGCTCCTCGCTCTCTGCCTGCTCCAGGGGGGCGCGGCGGAGAGCGAGGAAGGCGTCGGCCATCGCTGTCAGCCCCCACCCGACTGGAGGATCGGTGGGGTGGAACCCATGAGGGCGACAATGGGGCGTGTGACAGTGGTGGCCCTTTTGCAGGCCAGCTGACTGTTCTGTTTGGTGCAGGCATCCGGGTATGTATCCTGCTTCATCCGTCTTATGCCAGCAACATTTTGTGAAAAGCGTTTGTCATACACTGTATTTATTTATTTATTTTTACTCTGTCCTCTCTAGAATGGATCGCCTGCGCCTACAGATGGAGAGTCAGGGTTTGAAAGATGTGACCTACATGGTGGTCAACCATCAGGGAGCGCACGCACAACTTCTGCACTCCATGCTGGAGCAGAGGTTGTCCGCCAACATCGCGCTCTACAAACAAGAAGAGCACCAGCCGGACGTATGGCAGCTGCTGAACGGAGCCAAGGATGATTTTTTCATCTATGACAGGTTTGAGCAACTGGACGTGATCCTCAATTTGCATAATCCGGCGGCATTCTCAATTTACGACAGCGTTTTAAGGTTACGAGCCAATTTAAAGAAAATGCATTCATGCGGCACATCGTGTACATTTAAGCGCTGAAGGTACTCTTTGTTTTTTATTTGACTGAATAACTGGAGGGGCGGCCCGGTGGTCCAGTGGTTACATATCCATAATCGTCTACTTTTTTTTTTTTTTTTACCTCTTGACCATCAGATGTGGACGCCTTACTCGCCAAATTTCCCTTCCGTATTCCATCATTGGTCAGGGCCACATCGAGGGTGCCATTAAGGACACCTACTGCAAGCGATTATGTGGCACTTGCACATACGAGGTATTACTATTATACACACACACACACACACACACACACACACACACTACATATATTTGTCTTTTTCAAGATGACTGCAGGTTCCTAGGTTGGCGCCCTAGTGTTATCTATTGACAAGCTGCCACTGGTTCAAATTTCAAATGCTAACCAATTTCATGTGAATTTTCCACAGAGTGCTGAAATCCCATCAGAGTGTCAAGTAACTACAGAAGAAGAGCGTCCTGATGCTGCCCCGGCAGTTGACGCAGAAACTGGACACCACAGCCAACACCATCATGGGCATCACCACCATCATCATCATCAGCATGGGCACCACAGCCACGACCCCAGTCTGGGTCATCATCACCATGGAAACCGCCAGATGCAAATCCAAAGTCACCACAGTTTAGGGCAACAAGCTAGTCAGGGGCAGTCGCACGTGGCTCCCCAGGAGGCGCAGGGGATGCCGGTGATGCAGCAACCGTGAGCGCCCCAAACGTCGAGGTGAAAATCCAAACACGCTTGACGTTGGGCCGCCGCATCCGACAGTGACGCCGCTACTGCGGCCAGCTGATGCTGACACTGACGGAGGCTGTTGGGCGAGACGGGCGAGCCGAGCTTGTGACGCTGTCAGGAGGCGCTACCCGCCACATGACAGTGACACGGGCAGAGCGAGGCCAATCACGTCAGCGAGACCTGACAGTGACGCTCGCACCCTGCCGACTGACAGCCGCCTCAGCCGGACCAGTGAGCCTGACCTCCGGGGGTCGTGAGCTGAGAATGAGGCCATCTGTAAAGCTGGCCGTGATGTCATTCTCGAGTAGGAACACCAGCTCACCTCACCCGTCGTCCAGATAGGCCACCATGTTTCCAAATGACCCTTTCCCTCTTTTGGACCCTTCCATCTTTTATGAAACCAGGCGCATAAACTACGCTCTAGTGGCGTCTGGCTGAAGTCAGGATGGTAGGGATGGGAGACGAGTTCTTCGGGAACATGGTGGACTCAGTATTTCAGAACAGGTTTTCCCAACCTATTTTGAGCCAAAGCACATATTTTGTTAGGAAAGTCTTACGACCTACCACCAAATAAAAATGGAAAAATATGCGGATATGTGGATCCTCCGCCGAGTCGCAGCTTGCAAATTAAACTATTTGTGATTTTTTTTGGGTATTTTTTTAGGGGACGGGGGACATATGCTGCATTATTCATTGAAAAATTCTCATATTCGCTGTTTTTGTGCTTTTTGTAAAACACCCGAAGATGCCACAGGAATATATGACTTGTAGGAGCAGTAGTACAACACTACTCTTAAAGGGGAAGTCAACTCAAAGATATTCTTTACAATATGTTCTATGCACTCCACGAGTCTAAACATGGTATTACGATTAAAATTACATTGTGGAATATGTATTATGTAGCAAAATTCACCCGTTAACTTTTTTATTCATCTCAGAGGGAACCGTTTTGCCATGTACTGTCGTCATCACAGTGCTAAGCATTTTTTGGGTTTGGTCATGTAATGTTGGGCTTTGATGTCGTTTTTCACTTACCAGCATGTGTCAGTACAAGGTACAATGGCCGTCCCTTCGATGGACACAAACGGTTGGATTTTTCTGATTAATCTGCAAACACAATATACATCTGATTACTGTGATTAGACTAGTAGGTGGCGCGTAGACGATATTGTGAAGAAAATTTTGGACTTGACTTCCCCTTTAAGACTGATTTTCTTGTAGAGAGTGCTTTGGTGCCATCTTGTGGCATCTTGGGGTCTTTCAGGAAGGACACACAAAGAAAGTGAGTTTTTCATTGATGGGTGCAGGATAGACCCCTTCCAAAATAAGACCACTCTCGCCTTGGCTACACCTTCTCCAGTCTAAGTATCGGTTCATCATACCTCCATAGCACCTACATTTAAATAGACTAAAAACCATACACAAAAGAACAAAACAAAAGAACATAAGACCCATTAAGAGACATTAATTCAAAGGTTAATCCATTTTTTTTTGTTCATGCCGATAAGTTTTTTTCCCCCCCTTCCTTATGCTATATTTTCTTGCAAATTGCACACATCAAAACAAAGCTAAATGACTCCACTGTCACAAAGAGAGGGGAATGGAGCAGGAATGACTTTTGTAATACACGCTGTGCTTAATGATGGTTTCTGCGGGCAGGTGAAATACCACCCAGAAATCTGATGCCTACACAGAGCCATGTATTGTAAAGTGAGTGTGTGAATTATCCAGTATGTGAAAGGACAGTGGAATAAACTTTGAATGGATCGCTTAATTCTTCTGTTTGCGCCTTTTGGATCAAGATGGCAACATGAATTGTTTGAATATGTTCAGATGACATTAAATAATAGTGTCAAACAAAGCACCTTCATTTTTAACCTTGTTTAAAAATAACACTGGTCAAGAGCAACTATTTGCTATTATGTCCGAATTGATACTATGACACACATACCAAAAGTGTCCAGCAGATGGCAACAAAGCTCCACAAAGGAGACAAAATCATAATCTGCTCAAATTAAATGTCTAAGGATCTCTAAATTATGGTTTCACTAAACACTTTATTAGGTACACTTGTATAATGAAAGTGCAAATCTATTTTTTATTTGTTTGTTTTGGCCATGGTTTGCTATACACTAAACGCACAATGTGGAAAGACTAGTTTGCCCTACCGTACTGCATAGAATCTACTTGTGTATAAACAACAAACATCTCTGAGACAGGTCACAGTGTAGTTCTACAAACGACACTATAGCACACTATACATTGAGTGATTAATAAAAGTAACGTTTCAGTATAAATGATAATTTACTCATTGAAAAAAGATTAACCAAATGTGTGACAGCAAAGCCTTACTATTTTTTTTGTCATTTTAGTAATGATACACTCTACAACGGCAAAGTGCACCACGTTCAGCTTGGATCCGTGCATCTGAATGCACTGTCAAATTGTATGTCCGAAAAGGTCAACAAACAAAAGGAGGCGATGAGTTAGACCGAGGTGCCTTGCCTATGTGGGCGTAATTGGGCTGAAGATCCAATACAAGGGGGAGAGTGACTTATGGCTAATTAGCCGCAATGTCCTGTGAGTGGCGGTCAGTGTGATTCAATCAGCCCCCCATACAGAGCAGCGGTACACAGCCTCCATCTTAATTGGCCAATAAGCTTTCTTCGGCTGGCTGCGGCTCCCCTCCTCCATCTTTTTCACCAACACTGAGGCCTGGAAGTGAGAGTGAAGCACACACACAACATTTGAACCCATTCACAGTGTTCCTCTATGTGGATCACAAACAAGCCTGTATTCTCAGCTCGCGGAGACACACACACACACACACACACACACACACACACACACACACACACGCACGTACACAGTCATTTTGGGAAATATTTAGCTGCCCTTTGCTTTGAATGCCGATGTTCATCTCCTTGTTAATGGCAAGTTGTGCAAAAAAATAATGAAACACTGATCAGTTGGACATCTCCATTCACGACTAATGCTGAGACAAACAAAAAGGATCAGTACAATTAAAATGTGGCAAATTTACATTTATTGTATCGCAAGCTTATCAATCACAGATACAACACTGACAAGGCTTAACTGCTAAGATAACAATATCACATCATTGAAGTCCAACATTGTTCTTCGCGTTCTAACCCCCCTCAAGGTGGATGCGAAATATAAATGCAACTTGAAACAAGCTCCAATGGTACCTTGACTTGTTACAAGTGTCCCAACTTATAATAGGGGATTTTTTTTTGCTTTGTTTTGCACGCAAAAATTGGATTTACTAGTGAATTTTTCTCTAAGCATGATGTCTATTCTGCCCTCCCGGAGCATGCTGTGTGCGGTTTGGCAGTTACAGTAGCAAAGCGTTCTTTCAAAAAAAAAATAAAAAAGGCCAGTGTGCTTGTTTCAGGATGTTCATTGCCAATCTCAGCTGTTTACTGTGAAACTAAACATAAAACAAAGACAATTACAAACAACATGAATTTACTCAAGAAAGCCTGCTAGCTTAATGCTAAAAGATAATGCTAGTCACCCACAGAAAGGGCTAACAAAATTAGCATTGATCTATTGTGGTAAATTTTGAACAACTGCTATTTGGGCACAAGTGGTGCACACACACACGAACCATAATACTCACATTCTTTCTATTTTGTGATTCGTGACTACTATTAGCCAAGTCGTGAGCATACCACAAGGAGCCACACATCCACTGAATGAAGGTCAAAAAAAGTGTCCATTTTTTCATCAATGAATGGGATTTTCATTCATGTCAATGGGGAGAGTTGATATCTGAGTCATTTAAATTAAAATTGTGGAGCAAATTTAATTTGATAGTCAAGATACGATTGAAGTTGGATGAACAATGCTGTTGAGCATGAACCTGGTTGGCATAATCGTCTGTTGGACTTAATCATGAAACAACAACAACAACAGCAACAACCCCAAGAAAAAACTGAGGCCCAAATTGCCCAATATGTGATCAAGAAAAGACTGGAGGCCAAACACATCACTCAGCCACACTGCCACAAGGAAATATGGAAACAATAATGACAACAAAGTAGTATAAGAATGCTTGCAGTGTAACTATTGAAACTAAAGCCTCCTTTATATCAGAGCCTTTTACACAAAACCCAGAAAAAGTGAGATATAGACACAATCACATCATATTTGTGACATAAAATACTATCTGGATGGGAGAAGTGAGAGTCAAGGTGTTTCATTTCAGAGACACCCCCCTGCCACTGCCCCCCGGCATTCCCCTCCGCAACGTTCCGCCCTGCCTGAAGCTGCTGCAGGGATGGAAAAAAGCTGGTTTTGAAAGGCAGTCTGATAGCAGCTTACACCGCCATCCAGCTATTCAATCATTTTTTAAGCAAATTATTACAAATATACATCACAGTATATGATTCCATCAATCTGGTAGTATAAAATTTCTTGTATAAACACAAACTCGATGGCTTAAAACTGAAGCTTATTGATAACAAAGGTTCCTCATTCTCTCATTATCAAAAAAGAAAAAGAAGACGAAACTTAAGATGTCAAAGTCGAAATATTATTTCAACATGTGTTGATGGACATGCTCCCATGAGAATTTAGTTGGAAAATATTAAAACATCAACAGTAAATGACACGACAAAAAAAAAAAAAAAAAAAACACACACTCCTCTATAAACAATTAAAAAAAATAAAAATCATGTAGCATAATGGGGAAATGATTTCAAAACTCTTTATAAAGACATCAAAGTTTTTCACTGAATACAACCAGTATTATCGAAATTCTTATGAGAATGTATTTAAAAAAAATAATAGCAACAACCGCCCCACCCCCACACACACAAGTACCAGTTTTCCATCATCAATCATACGATCAAAAAGTAAACTGAGCTGGCATTTTCGTAAAACTATTTTTGTAAAGTTCTTTCATTAATTTTTTTTTTTTTGTAAAAACACATTTAAGTAAACCTGGTCATGTTTTCATTGCATGCTACTCAATTCAGTTAATTTGTAATCCAACGTTGTGACTACGATTATATAATTAAACACTTGTCAGGAAAATCACATACAAATGTTCACTATATTTGATAAACCAATTGCGTATTGAGGAAAAATGACAAACCAAATGAATTCTCATGACAGTGGAAACTTGTCGACAATGAAGAACTCCATTTGACAAAATGTAGCATTTCAAGAAATATTTCAAAGTAAACCATTTATGTCAGCTTAACTGTTTTGTTTTTTGTTTTTTCTTGGTGCTCAGCTGTTGTCACTCTGGGACACGCAGTTTTCTAATGTTGCAAAGTCTCGATCCATTTCATTAGAAGTTAAGAACAATACTTAGGGAGGCTTCAAAATACACCCCCTGAAATCAAATGTACAACGTATGATATATTTGTTTTTAAACAAAACGAGTCTAATGTAGCGCCAAAAGCATATTGGTAGCCATGACGTTGTACTGTATTTTTTTACAGAGTACACTAAAGTTGCTAAAACACAAGGAAGTAACATTTCTAGCCTTTACCTTATTATTTTGTGTGTAAACTTGGTAGCTCCACCTCTGTACTGTCCCGAGGAAAAAAAATCTGAATATGAATACTGTACATGCAACATTTTCTACCGTCTACGACCCATCAGTTGACAACCCTCATATAAAGAGCCATTCCCAAAAAAAAAAAAAAAAAAAAAGAAAAACCAAACAAAATTACCACATTTAAACACGTAATTAAAAAAAAAACAGTCAGGAAAAATCAACCTTTTGTATATAACCCCACTAAATTCTCACGCGAAGGCGCGGTCTGTCGAACGTGTACAAAGTGCTCAGTCTAAAGTGTCTGTCACATTTCGAAAAAAAAAAAAAGTTGCAATCACCATATGCACGAGGTTAAGAATGAACTTATTGTGAGCTGGCAATCACACACACACACACACACACACACACACACACACACACACACACACACACACACACACAGTTAAAACTTGCACACAGAGCTTGAAGAAATGATCTCTCGACTGCTCGTCACTGATTGCATTGCATATATTCCAGTTTGCACACATTCACAGTGACTACGCTGAACAGAAACTGCAGCAAACAGGGGGTTCCCTGCTGGGAACTTCCTTCATTTTTTTTGGGGGGGGGGGAGGATATTTGACATACAACGGAAAACTTGTCCGTGTGTATCTGTCCATTCATAACCGAGCAAATGGCATACTTGTCAAAGTCCACTGACATGCGCACACAGTCACATTTACGCAAACGTACTCACACTTAGGCATGCACTTAGTATATGTACGCACTACTGGCGGAGACAGAGGGGAGGTGCATTCAATCATTCATGAATGAAGGAATCCTGCCGTGAGTTATGAAACAGATGTCTGACTGAACAAATCATGCCCCCCCACCCCCCAAGAGAGAAAATTTTGTATTTATTCACATATGTGTAAATAAGAGTGTGAGAAATCTGAATATGTGCACACATACACGGGTGTGCAATTGTTATTCAAGATTAAAATGGATGTTGATTATTGACAAAATATTTCCAAGTTTTTTGTTTTGTGGACCTCCCCTGAGATAGCCTTGGCCACCCCAAGGATAAAAGCCTAGCTCCGCCTCTGCAATACTCATCGACACTCGCACCCATACAGTACATTGAGGCGCACAGGCTTACACACACGAGCACTTACAAACTCAGAAACGTGCACACACAATCTCACAGGCACTGACATGCTTAAATGTGAACACGTACACACTGCAACGTAGTTGTGCACTTATGCACACACACACACACACACACACACACACACACACACACACACACACACACACACACACACACACATGCAATAAAGGCAGAAAAATAAAAAATATCAAACATTTTCCCTTGTTGTGGGGTATCTGGAGAGTGACCAGGGGTGGCCATGGCCCAACCCTAGCCACCACGTCGCTCTGCCCCTGACTTGCAGAAGGCACTTAAATGCGCACACGCACACACAAACACACAACAACACAAGCACACACACGATCATACTCACACAAACATACTGATACACGCACTTCCATACACATGCATTTGCGCAGGCACTTCAGCGCAGACGGACCATTTCCAGGTAGCAGGCTAGCAGCATTATTAGCTTTGTAGTCTTTTCCCACTAAATCTGAACGAAGCCACAATACAGTACTGCTAGCTCGCCCTTAAATGAACCTTCAGCGAATGCAGAAGTACCAGGTAGCAACATTCTACAGGGTTGCTGTCACGAAATGAAATCGATATAAAATATATTTTCTTTGTATTCCCGATAACAATTAAAGAAAAAGCTCTGAGAAAACGATTACATTTTTATCGGTTAATGATCATATTCAAATGGCGGCCGGCACAAGGCTGAATTAGTTAGATTTGTCACCGAATGGGCACTTTTGTGAAACACTATCACAGCTTTACAATCATCACCCTCCTCCTTTCAAACACCAAAAAAAAACAGTTGCAATCAGGCAGATTTGTGTATACAATCTCCCTTTGCAACTTCTGTAACTTTTAAATCCATATGTAATTATAACCTGGTCGACTGGTTAGCACGTCCGCCTCACAGTGCAGAATCCGGTCCCGTCTTTACTCTGTGAAGTTTGCATGTCCTTCGCACACCTGTGTGGGTTTTCTCCGGATACTCCGGTTTCGTCCCACATTCCAAAAAACATGCACGGTAGGTTACTGGAACACTCTAAATTGTCCCTGGGTGTGATTGTGACTGCGGTTTGTCTGTTTGTCTCTGTGTGCCCTGCGATTGGCTGGCAACCAATTCAGGGTGTAACCCGCCTATTGGGCCAAGACGGCCTGGGATAGGCTCCGGCACGGCCTCGAACCTTGTGAGGATAAATGGATCAAATGGCAAAATGGATGTATTTTGTACGCAGAGATGCTTCACCAGTTCACCTAAACACATTGCCGCCTCTGTAATTCTTTTTTTTTTTTTTTAGCCTAGTCGAAAGCCTATTACGATTATTATGTCTACTATTGAAGCATTCGTCAAAACAGGCAAGCATTGAACGCAACCGTGGAAAAAGAAGTTGTTCACACTGTGTCGACTGACACACCTTCACATTCTTTGGACTCAATCCATTCGCCGTCCCTGAATTATTTGACATAAACATATAGGAACACATTTCAAATAACATCGTAAGGGTTGTAGTAGCTGAGCTGGTATAGGTTGATAGTGTGTGTGTGTGTGTGTGTGTGTGTGTGTGTGTGTGTGTGTGTGTGTGTCCATCAGCTACATGTACAGCAGCTTTCAAAGTATTGATACTACAAGTTTTTTTTTTTTAAATGGCGTAGAAAGCCATCCTTCTGTTTTAAAGAACAGCTTCTAAGATTCCTTTGCGTAAAATGGAATTAAACGATGCCAGGATCAAAGGGGGAAACTCATTCCCATCCATGAACCGCGTTTCAGGATTTCCCTTTGGTCAGCCTCCATGGCAATTTCCTTAGCGTCACCTAACGCCTCACAGCGACCTCCTGCAAGGCCCCATGACGCCGCGTAGAAGCTCGTTTATCACAGTTTGTATGCGCGTCTGTGTGATCGTTTGTAAAATACACTCATGCACAACGTTATTCATTCCCAGTCCACATTTTCAATGTAAAGGTTTCAGCTGCAATTTCGGCCAAAGTCAGCTGAGATAGGCATGTCAACAAGTGCGATAGGAAATAGATGATTGGATGAGAATCCTTTAACTGCAAAGCACACAAGCTTTTTGACTGGATTATTTGTCGTCGCGTTGTTCCTTTTTATCTTGCAGGGTTGCAGTTTTCATTCATTCCTCAGCTAAAAAAAAAAAAAAAAACTAAATCACAAATTCAACAAATAAACTACCTCGAAATTTGGCCAGCACGTGCATAATCACAAAAACAATGTGATGCAGTTTTGCAGCAAAAGCAGAAAAACGTTCTACTTTCTTGCTCGGTTTGAGCAAGTATGAATAGTTCGACATGTCTTGAAAGCACACGTTCTAAAGTTGTGTCAATTATGTACACTATTTAAGAAGTAAACAATGGCAGACGCTTCTTCTCCTGCCATCTTCGGGCCAGGGCAACTGCGCTACTCTTTGCACTGTTAAGACTTCGGCAATTACCTAAAGATGCGTCAAAATGATTGCTTCTTGAAAAACGTCTCTCCTACGTCGCTTGCAAGGAAACACAAAGCGCATGAAATACATTTCGGCGGCGCGGATGTAAGGCAGCGGGCGCAATTTCAACTCCCCTCCCGCCGTTCGCCGCGAGTCAATCGGCCTCCAACGGGAGTCGGCTAACTTCCCAGTCTCAACGTGTTGCGTTCAAGGCGAGAATGTCCCCTGCAGGTCTGGGGTCACGTACCCCACGGGCATGGCGGGGAGGGATTTGAGGGGGTGCTGCGACAGGCACAACGGCGCTGACTGGACGGGAGGCGGGTCCAGCAGAACGCTGCGCTGGCTATCTAGCTCCTGTACAACCGTGTAGTCCGCTACGGGAGCAAAGAGCTGCGCCTGGGGGGAGTCGGGAGAGACGTAAGGCGACTGGTAGGCTTCATTCGGCCGAGGCTCGCTGGGCTGGCAGCTCTCGTCGGGCATGGAGCAGTAAGGCGGGGTGCTGCTGTCGCCATCTGGTTCCAAATCCAGGAGCTGAAACTGACGCTCCTTTTGCTTCTTCTCCTCCTCGCAGTCTTTCTTCCCCTTCTTTGCGTCTTCGTTCGAGGCCGGGCCGCCTTCCTGCGTTCGTAGTTGCTGGCCGGGGGACAGCACCACACCCCCGAAGGGCATGACGTTGCTGACCTGGGCGTAGAAATCCGTGGTGACCCAAGTCTGAGGAACTCCGCTTTGAGAGTGCGCCGGGGGTCTCTCTATTTGCTCCGAGTCCACGTAGAGGGAGGCTTCTCTGTCGTCGGGTTGGCCCGGGAGCAGCGTGGACGTGAGCACGGCGCCGTCTTCATCGGGATCATTCGAGGCGTAAGGGCGTTCGCTGTCGCCGCCATCGTCAGGAAAGCTGATGGGACAGCAGCATAGATGCATGTTAACAAGTGGGTAGGGCTAAATGATTTACAACAATAATCACAATGGTGATATATTGTGCAGACCTAATTATGATGCATTTTTCCCTGGAAAAAAAAAAACAAAAAAACAAAAAACAAAAACTTCCCCAATAATATTAAGACATTTTCTCACCAGAGCAGTGGTTCTCACAATGTTTGCGCCCTCTCGTGGTATGCAAAAGGGTCACTGAATTACGTATATAAATTGTTCTTCATGTTACATAATCTTTAACTTTTTTTTTTAATCCACGACAGCACATTTGTAAAGTACAGTTCAGTTGTATTTAACTTTTAAGGTCGACAAACTTGCAATTACGTCCACGGTGTGTCAAACTCATTTTTGTCGCGGGCCACATTTTAGTTACCGTTTCCCTTGGAGGGCCGTTATGACTGAAACCATATCGAGAAGTCAAGAATAACTGTTGATTCAACTCTTGTTTAAGTTACGATCACGATGGGTTTGGGAACAAGAAAATGCTTCCAAGATCTCTCTTTGTTTATTACATGTGAGAATTACATTTTTTGGTCGACATTTTAGAAAGCATCATGGAAGTTGACATGTTTGATCTGCTTTCACGGACCATATAAAATGATGTGGTGGGTCAAATATGGCCCCCGGGCCTTGAGTTTGACACCTGTGAATTAATCGATAACTGTTTGTTTTCAAACATTGCTTCAGGTACAATTTTTATTTCACTTGTGTGCTGAACACTGAACAGAATCATCGAATATTTCCTGCGATTGGCTGACAACCAGTTGAGGATGTACCCCGCCTACTGTTTAAAGACATATCGGGATAGGCTCCAACACGCCCGTGAACCTCGTGATGTCGAGAATATTTAAGCAGGTTTTTTTTTCTTCTCCAAAACTGTGCATAAAGTTAAAGTGGTTACTATACGAATAAACATTTGCTTTGCTTTTTCATGAACACTTGGGCCCAGTACACGACTGTATTTGAATCTTTGTCTTGTGGTGGTACTTGGGAGTTTTGGAGGATGTTCATGATGTTTGAGAACCACTGCTTTTCGAGGCCTACTTTTTCCCCAAAATTGTACAATTCTGACTTAGGTTTCACTGTTGGTAGAAATACAAGAAGTACCTGAAAGCAGTGGAGCACCCGTCTCGGTGTCCGCTTGACTGAGAGCCCCCTAACAGCCTCTCCGTGTCCGAGGCCTGGTTGTCCTCCTTCTCCCCAGTGTCCGGATCCTTCACGTCCACCTCGATGAATTCCACCCACGGCTCATCTTGGTAAAAGTCTGGCGAATACGTGGGGCCGCCAACAAGACCTCCACCGCTAAGAATGAAATTCAGCTCATCCAGCTTCCCTTTCTGCATGGAAACAAAATAACATGAGGTACATTTGCAAAATCGAATGAGATCCAGTGCAAGATATTTTGCAAAATGTTTATTATTATGGTTTTAGAGTGAGAGCTGCACAATGCTGAACTTACATTTGCTTTCATCCCTCACAATTGAAAACAGAGCTGTCCAACAGAACTTGTTTGTATGATAATAAATTATGATCTGTTCTTTTTTTTTTTAAAAACAGAGCTGTCCAACAGAACTTGTTTGTATTATAATAAATTATGGTCTGTTCTTTTTTTCTTTGCCTTAATAACAGGCTCACACAATAAACAACGAGTGATGTGGCGAGGAGAAGTGGGCATTGTAATGAACAATGACACCAGCCTGTCAATAGAAATGTTATTTACAAAATGGGTTACATAACACATTTTCAGTTTCATCTTCACTTTGTGATGAGGGACAGGAGATCTTAGAGGCCCCGTAAAACAAATTCAGTTATTTCTTTCCAAATACGTTTGAAGATGATTGCTGGAAACGTGCCAAGAACAAGAACTACGGTATGTAGTCCTCGCTTGTGAAGCTATAGCATTAAATAGTTTTTCTCCATTTTGGGTTTTCTGATTTTTGGGGGGGGGCGCACAACGCATTGGATTGGATAGACACTAGTTTTAAAATCGGAATTCAAGAATAATGACCGCTATTGTGAATTACATATGACAATTTGAAATTTTGGTTCAGACTTTAGCAAGTCTCATGGAACTTGAGATACTTGATTTATTTTTGCGGGTCACATAAAATGATGTGGTGGGCCAGATCTGGCCCCCGGGTTTTGACTTTGACACCAGTGGCCGACAGCCTAAAAAGCAGCCATTTTTCTAGGTCGTAGCGAAAGTATTTGATTGACAGTTGACAGTCGAGTGGGGTATAGTTAAAGCACATCCAGTGGACACGACTGCAGCATTTGAGAAGGGTGACAATAACTTGATTTTTTTCAGAATTTGAAGCCTCATTTCCTCGATTTGACAATGTTTGTAATCATTCAAATTTGGCAGGGCTAATAACAACGCTCTTCTCTTTGGTATGTGAAATTTAGAAGACATTCATTTTCACAGTACACGGTCTTTACTACTGCTTCCCAAGGGTGCCATAAAGAACATACATAATAATTACAATGACCAAAAAATGACATTAAAAAAAAAAAAAAAATACTAAAAAAAAATACTAAAAGAAAACCACAGGTACCTTTAACAGCTCTGGATCAACGCCTTTAATTTTGGGCGCCGGAACCGGTGGTAACAGAATGACCATTAATCTGCAAAGACAGCAAATCCCACTTGGTTAAACACCAAAATATCTTCCATATGTGTGCGCATCGGAGTTCCTACCTGTGCTGCTGTGAGACAACAACCCACATGATGAGTATGACGGCGGCCACAACCCCCAAAACGATAACCAATGTGAGCAGGGAAAATGCATCTACAAAGATGAACAAAAAGAAAAAAGAAAAACAGCATTGCATTGCATTGCAACCCACACAGGGAAACAAAACTACAAATGCACCAAAATGTGCGGAACAAGGTTACCTTTGTTGGGACTGCGAGAGACTTGAACGAAAACAGATTCACTGAAGTCTCCGAACTTGGTGAAGGCCTTCATCCTGCAGCGGATGTGCACCTCGTATACTTTGTCGACATGGAGTCCGTAGATAGTCTGCTCGGTTTCAGGCTGCAGCTGAACCTCCATCTGAATTTTGTAACAGAGATCCATGACATTAGATCAAAAAATGACACCCATTGAGTAAAACACAAAAAATAATTTATCATTTGGACGGTTTTCTCTTACAATCAAAAAAAAAAAAAATCCAATTCCTGATCTCAAGCAACTAGCTTACACAAGAAACACTTCAAATGATTTTCAATGCAATTTTAGAATTGGCCATTTGAGAAGCATTTGCCTCAGCCACAGGTGTGAAACTCAAGGCCCGGGGGCCAGATTTGGCCCACGAGATCATTTTATGTGGCCCACAAAAGTCAATTATCTGCATCGATTTCATGTGTCTTGCTAACATACGAAAATCGCTAATTGTCGGCACCTCATATTTTCTTGTTACCAATTCCCCAATTAAAATTAATCTGATCATGTTTTTACAGTTTTTACTGGCCACTGATTTCCAATCATCATTTGTATATCTGCAATATGATGAGATGATGCATTTATTTAAGTTCACAGTCATAACGGCCCTCCGACGTAAACCATAACCACGATGTGGCTCGATGCATTTGATGAATCTACATAAAGCTGTATAACGGTTCCAATGAAGAGCAGAAAAATGAACCTTTTTACCGTATCCCTATTTTTAAGATGGATCTGCTTGACGCCATTTTCATGCATGTATGTATTGCCCAGTAGGCGTACAGAATTTTTTGGCCAGTAGGTGGATATTAGTTAGATTTTCAGAGGTTTGAGATTTACAGGTATGCAGCTGGAGAAAGATTTATATGATGAGATTAGCAAACCAGGCAGACACACCATGACCTCCGAACCAAGCGCTCCCGCCCTTGATTTCCGTCAGTAAACCCGTGTTTTCCCAGGAGGCCTTGCTCAGGCTTCCAGTGGCTTTAGGAGGAAGGAAACATGAAACTACTTGTCCTGATTTGATCTTCCCCTTTAAGGTTGGAGGACACGCACGTTGCGCTTGTGGCACCGACTTTATAACATTTGAAAGAAGTGTTGTGGAATTTACAAACGAGAAACGACGACTCACTGTCTCCCAGGTGGTGCTGTTCTTCTCTCGGTACTGGACCTCGTACACGATACTCATCCAGCCCATCCTGACGTCAGCGGAGGCGGGTGGTTCCCATGTCACCATGATGTCGTAAGTGAGCCCGGAGGGACTCACATTCAAGCAGGTCCAGTTGAGAGCCACTGGAGGGTCAGGACGCACTGCCAGAAAAACATTTCAAGCAAAGCAAATGTGTGCAAACGTCACGTCACCTGATGCAGCCACACATAATCCACATGCCAGAGATCCAAAAACTTGCTGTAAAATATGTTCAGTTGTACATTTTAATTGTATTGTTAATATGCAATTTAATACAATTTACCAATTATTCATTAATCTAAATACAACATTTTACGTGTTAAACCACGACATGCAATTATATGTATTGGAGAATTTGTTTATTTACTTATTTTAAACACCTCCTCCCACATTAAAAAAAAAAAATCTTCAACAATGCTGATAAAACATTCAATCTGCATTTTCTACAAGAAACAGGACAACAAAAATGACCCGCCCCCTCTTAAAAAAAAAATTTAAAAAAACAGTTGGAAAAAAAAAGGGAAAATATCCGTGAATATTTCAAAACCGTGGGTGTCGACCCATGAAAATGTGGGGGGTCGACAGGTTTCGAGCTGAAAAGCAAAACGTAGGATGCTCATTGATCACTGCGAACTTAAAAGGAGGTCATAGATCGAAAATCGATACAGATTGCGATACGAACCAATGTTTTCCACAGAGAAGCAGTCATCCGTGTTGAAATAGGTAACGTTGTCTCGGCTGCGCAGTTGCAAGCAGTAGGGGGTCCAAATGGATGTGTGGTTTCGATCAAAGAAGCATTCTCGCCTTGAGTGGAAATACTCTGGACACTCTTTCCATTCGTTCTCAGTGGGGGCGCTGAAGGCAGAAAAAAAAAGCAGCGTGTTAGTCACAGATATGTAGCCTGCTTAATGGCATTTTTTTTTTGGGTCACTTCTTCTCTCACTCTACAATGCGCTTCTTATAGAAGACCCTCAATGCTCCGGGGTCAGACAGGTTGTGGAAACTGCCGGGACTCCACCAGCAGCTGAATGTCGCTTGATCCTGGGATGTACACTTTGTGAAGTGAGGTTCAACAGGAGCTGAGGCACGCATTTGACAAGAGGAAAAAAATTAAATAAATACATGAAATCAACTTTATTCAACTCTGTGAACTACAAAAAGCTTTAAGTTTCAAGCTTGTCCTCACAGGCTTTTGAATCAATCGATTCCTACAAAATGTGTGCTAAATTAATAGATATGACATATTGTTCCAAATTACTCGTGAATTAGAAGTGCAGCATGTCGGCCACTTGTGGGGGGGGGGATAAAGGAGATAAAGGAACTAGAGAAAGTTTCTTTATCTAGTTTTATTTGGAATTTGTAGAATCAAAAAAAAAGAAGCACAAAGGAATGTCAGCCCAAAACCCCCCAAAAATAAAATAAAAATGATCAACACAATAATAGAAATTCCTGTTACCATTCCTGGAATCCAAGCACAAAATGAATCATAAAACATAAAAAACATGCCTGAAAACTGTTTTTTTTTTTTGCACATGCAGGACAATTAATACTTCCACATGACTTGCCGTCATATGCCTTCAGCTTTCAATAAAAGCCAATATAATGAAAAACAGTACAAAGGTAACCTTGAAACTTTGAACATTATTACAGGGAGCCCCGGTACTTCTATTCTCGTCATCTCCATTCAAAAATCTGAGGTCAACTCGCAACGGTTGGTTTTCGACCTCAAAGGTTAATTACAAAATGCTGTTCCACAAATGGACAGACTGTAAAATGTCGTGTTTTGAGCTGCCAGTTGCTGGGAGAGAACATACATGCAAGTCTGACGATGATGATGATGATGAGTTGATTCTTCTGACAACCTTTGGTGTGTAGCTGATCCCGATTATTCTACTCTCAACCAACGCAAGCACCAAAAGACCTGATCGAAGGACTTCATTGGCAAGTATTCCACTCAATGGGGCCTTTTATGACATATGGCTTTGTTCAAGCACGCGCTCTCTTTCTCTCTCTCTCTCACATGCACAAACGCACATTGACTTGGTTCTCAAACCCCTCACCACAGCTCACCACCGCCCTGTTTCTCATCAAGCGGAGAGGCACTGAACTTGGCTGCGGCCATTAATAAGCAAGTGAGGGCATCGTTGATTTCTCCTGCGGCCGCTTTCTGCTTTTGGTAGCCGCAGCTTGCATGAATCACACACGGGCAGGAACACAAATGCGTTACGCCCAACACAAAAATAATTGCAAAATGCCTACGAAATGCCACTTGAAGAGGATAAAACAGCATCTTAGGACAAAACAAATGGCTTTAGGATAACTATCAAGACAGTACTCTCTTAACCCTTTCATGCACCAATAATGATAACCTGTAACCTGATAACATGATAAGCTGTCCACCGTAGTAACCGCTGTCCCTGACAGGGTTATTATTAATTTTTCATATTTTTATGCATAAACAACGCAGACGTATACAGTATATATGTGATTTGTTGTGACCATACAGTGTCGACAACCAACATGCAGCAAGACAGCACAACAAATCAGAGCTTTTGTGTCAGGTTTCATTTTTACGAAGTCACTTGTTGCTAGGCAGAATTCACAGAACATGAGCGTGACAATTTCTCAGTTTTTCTGCCCCCCTCCAAATTAAAAAAAAAAAAAAAAAACCCTCACAAAATACAAGCAAGTCATGCCATGTTCTCTGTGCCTTTTCAACACCCCAACACAGGGGAGAAGGGAAAGGACAGGAAAATCAGGTATTCATGAAAAAGCCGAAAAAAATCCTTCGTTAGGCCATAAGCTTGAGTAGCCATCTGTTTCTAAGCAGAATTCACAATGTGCAAACTGTTTTAATTCTGTTCATTCTACATAATGTTGTTACTATTACATGTTTGTTCATTTTTTTGGGAAGGCTGAAATGTATTGATGGCATTCTTTTTCTTTCAATGGGGAAAGATTTATATATCGAAAACTCCCCCAGATGTTTCGACGCTTGTAATTTTATTTCACTGCTTATGCTCGGTTCGATGGGCGGTTAATCTCATAAATGACATTCCTGTCCGCTACACCACACACCCTCCGCCATCCCTACCTTCCCCTGGTCGGACCTCCGCCCCCCCTCCCCCCCCTTGCGGTTCACGGGGCTTTGTGAGCCTCTCCTTCTCTCGTCCAACAAGTTGCAAAAAGCAGACTACAAACACACTGTGCAAACGATCTGAATACTATTTGCTGTATTTGTGTTGAATTACACAAACATTATTTATGCTGACGATTTTCTCATGAGTGTAGTTGAGTGCAAAAAAAAAAAAAAAAGCAATAGGTTGTCATGATGTAACAAGGTGACTTTAATGCCTACTTTAGTTCCAGTTTAAACAGGGTAACCTATGGGGAGGGAGGTTGCTCTCAACACCTTCCAAGCTTGTTGAACCTGTTTTCACAAGTATTTAGGAGTTCATTCAAAAAGTGACTTGTCCAGGAGGTTGATTGCTTTCAAAATATCAGTCACGATAAGACAAGCTAACACGCCGAGGCCGAAAATGTCGAACTGCGAATATGCAGGGGTCGACAGTAATTTTAAATTGTAATATCACCAATTACCACTAGATGGTAGACATATCTTAGTTGCGATCACACTGGCTCCTACACTGCCCGCAATAACAAAATCAATAAATAGTGAAAAAACCTTCATTACCACAAACCGTGGGAAGCTAACTGCCGCCGTGACCTTGATTCGCAAGACTACTGCATGACTTGTACATTTATGTACTTTCGGAGGCAAGATTGAAAGATGATCGTAAGCGGCTTTGGGGCGCGGCACCTCCTAAATTGACGACAGTTGGCTTCGTCTGCGCCACTGGCGGTTGCTGAAACTGAATGTTTTCAGAGATGAAGTCGGAACACGACAGCTGTTTGTTTCATGTCCTATAAAATCATTTTTCTTCATACTGTGTAGCCGCGAATTTGTAATTGACGTTTCCACTGTATTACATGTTCATGTTTTTACATTTATAAATGTTTATACTGTATCATACGTCGTAGTCGGCGGCCATTTTGTTGGAAAGGGTTACAATGAACTACCGTTATAATGTACAGATTTCCTTTTGTCCCTCGGGGTACGTTGTAATGAGGTTTGACTCTTGAATATCAAGACTTGAGGTAGTTGATTTTTGTGTGTGTGTGTGTGTGTGTGGGGGGGGGGGTGCAAATAGCTCCAGATTTAAACTATCATTTTTGTCCTTCGTCCATTTAAGTTCCCCATCCCTGATTTAGTTCATTTATGACTCGTTCCATCCAGTAGAGGAGCCAGGAAGCCGCTTTTCACTCTAGCTGTTGCCTTTTACCCATTAAGGGCCACACTTTGAAAGACCCTAATGAGGCACTTCCCTCGCCACAGACAGGCTACATCGGTCGCCATATTGTGAAATGGTCCGTGGTAGCGGATGAGGCACCGTCGGCGTACATAATATTCTTCTTCCGGCTCATTTTGCAGGTTGAAGTCAAACACGAGGTAATGGCACATCGGAAAAAAAAAAAAATTGAAGACGACACAGGTCGATGGAATAAGAGAAAATTTGTTGTACTTTACATGACCAACTATAATTCTTAAAAATGTGGCCAGGACATTTCTTTTTTAAATTTATATGTTCTTCTGTGGTGACAGAATTCCATTTATGTAACCCAAATGGAGAATGTCAGATATATTTCGTCTGCGCAGGTCAGAGTTGAGTTAAAAAATGCTGACTAGTAGAGCAAAGTGAAATGAAAGAACCGCCCGTCCGACCCCACACCCCTCGGCTGGCCAAAGTGCATTCTGGGACATTTAAAAGGAATTTGTGAATGGAACAGACTGGGAAGATTTGAACAACTACAAATTACAAGGGCAAAGATAAAAACATTCAAGGTCCTGAAAAGGTCAAGAAAAGGCCCTGCAACAAGATATAAAAAAACAAGGCAATGTAAACAAGTGATATAAATAGCTGTCAACATGATGTGAATTTGCACCTTCAAAACAAAAGGTCGTGATGCACATTAAAGTGCCATTGTCCAACTGCCGAAATGCCTTTGGAGGGCGGGGGGCCGAAGGGGGGTTGGGGCAACCCAAGCAAGGCCCCCCACCAACAACAACTGCTACATTGTTTCTTTTACAATAGTGGACCATAATGCAATTACCGGTATATGAATGTCTTAAGGACAAAAAAAAAAAAGACACCTATGGAGCAATTCAGAAAATCATGAACTGGCTCTCACAAATAAGATTGTAGCTTTCAGAAACATGGCCATGTTAGATTTGGCTGATGCACTAATTTTCCTTGAAGATGCGGTCTCCACATAACATGAAATCAGCTCGCATGATCTTTCAATGGAAACATGCATTACAACACTTTAATTCATCCACAAAACTGTTGACGTGCCTATGTCGGTGCTGCTTTTTTTGGTTAGCAAGTGAGTTCAAATAGCCACAGCGGTTACGTGCTAATGAGAGTGTCGATGAACTAAGATATTTACAGTTACTTGCCGGTAAATTTTCATAATGAGTAAAGGGAGGCATCTATTTGAGGAAGGTGTTTATTTGTCTTTCCCAGTGACTGACCCATGGGGAAGGGCCTCCAATTGAGGAAAATCAGGTTTGTTAATTACCTCTGTTGCCTTAAAAGTTCCCTGCATACATTTACTTTGATTACATCGACGGGAACATTTTGAGCATACCACCTCCTCCTGCACACACAATGCGTGCAGTACATTCCTCTTGGCGTTGCACTGCAGAATGTGTGACACCATCACACAAGACAAGCAAACATTTTAAATGTAGCTGGCATCACAGTTAACTCTTTCGATGCCAGCCATTAAAAAAAAAAAAAAAAAAAGAATCTCTCGCCAGAAATTTAGAACATTCTGACTGATCTTTCAAGGCTCACAGAAAATTGTTTTATGGCTACGTAAACACAGAAACTACCAAATGAAAGATTTGACTCTATTTTTCAATCACAAAAAAAAAGTTTTTTACCTTATTGCATTCAATTAGTCATCAGCTTCACCCAAATTACATATTTCGGACCAAAAAAATTAAGAAAACAAG